CATACACTGCTTTCATTACTGGGAGTGTAAATTGTCAAATACAATGTGGCTATTTCAGGCCTCTTGAAGGAGGGATCATTAGATGTACTGACAGATCTGAAACATCCATCTTCAAATGTGTCAGGGTAAAAATAGCAAACCAGCCGCATTGTGAAACACGCTCAGTCTGTTGGACACAGACGATGTGACTGTCTGACACCAACTCTATAGCCATTATCTGCACAAATGATGAACACAGCCTAAAAAGGCCAATAATGATCTGAACAATCCCATTAGGGCTGGATCAAACCATTATTTTGAAATCGATTTATCTATCAATAATTTTTTTTCCTGAATAATCTAAAAAAAAAAAAAAATCCTCCCCAGTTACTCTATTTTTTTTTTTTCTGAATAGATTATTAATCCTTTGGTTAATTTACAGACTGTAAATAAGAAGAACCAACAATTTACCAATAAATAACAACCATAACCTAGATGTATGAGCGTTACCTAATATTATTTATCATAAAAAGTTTATGCAGTCTAGGCCTAATTAGCAAAGTTGTTTACTATGGCTGCGAGATTTACAGCATCCACTGCTTACAAGTGTGGATCCTGAAATGTTTTGATCAGTCATTAGATTAAAGTATAGTACTGCTTGAATATGATCATTCAAGTCACAACCACATTCTAACTAACTATAGCAGACACCATAACGACGATATCAAACATGTCCATAAAATCGTGAAGTTTTATCACAATTGACACGACCCATTAGATATTTTAAATAACCACCAACAGTGTATTTAAGACTGTTAATGCTTTGTAAATGTCTGCAGAGAGTACGTTTGAGCCGTGTGCCTCACAGCCACAGGAGCTCATGAAACGCAGAATGAACGCAGCCGTATTAAGCACAAAATATGGGACTGAAAACCGTATTCTAGAACTGTGTAAAATTTGACTGTATAGTCCAAATATCGACATAATAAGCATATCGACTAATTGATGATCGATAATGTTGACACACCATTCCAGCCCTAAATCCCAGGTGCTTTAACAATACAAACAAGTTGAGTGTGTGAGAAAGAGTTGTTAAATAACATTACTGTGAGATACAGATAGAGATACAATTAGAAGTTTAGACAGCAGATTTAAAGAGCAACATGCAGGTTGAATTTATTTCTGAATTAATATTTTAAATTGTCTGCAGAGGTCTTTTAAAAACACATAAGTAGAAATTACTAATGAAATCTAATTTGATGTAGAGATTTTGATGAAAATGTGCAAGGTTCTGGAATACGCCTTTCCCTCTAGCAAGCAACGCGTCATATGACGTAGGCCGAGGCAAACAAAAGAGTAGTTAGAGCAGAAGTGAGAGACAGAAAGTTTTAAAGAAGCCATAATCATAAATTATTGTGTTTGTGCTGGTTGCACGAATTTCAGCCTGTCAGGCGGGCTATCCTTTTGTTCAATCGATGGAAGATGATGGGAACTATTTTGACAGCGGTAATCATTACCGTAACTTCACCTTTAAAAAGCCTGTCTTGTCTAACTCGAGGAAAAAATTTGCAGCTGCATTGCAGATACTGGCTGGGCTCTGGGCTGGACCATAAAATAAGTTTTTATGGACAGGAATTTGATCAGACTATAAAAAAAAAAGCCCCAGCAGGTCTGCCATCGGTGTGGGCTTCTCTCTGTGATCTTTGCCTACAATCCGATAATCGGGCCACCTCCGCTTACCGACCGCAACAGATAAGGCTGCTTTGGCAAACGCCCCAGCCAGGTCCGACAAGAGCTCTGACATACCCAAAGCAAAGAGACACATGAAGAGTTCAGATGCAAAAGCCTCTAAGTGCCATTTGAAATTTTCTTCTAGAATGATCATTTTTATCAAGCTTGTATATTTAAGTTCAGTGATTTCACTTAAATGGCAATGATAATTACCTATTAATTGTTATTTAAGTGAAATTACTGAACTTAAATATACAAGTTTGATAAAAATCATCATTAAAGAAGAAAATTTCAAATGGCATTTAGAGGCTTTTGCATCTGAACTCTTCACATGGAGGCTGAGGAGGAGATGGTGAAGGTGGAGTGGGAGGGAGGGTGAAACAGGGTATGAGCGGATTGGTCCGATGTTCTGCCAAGGTCCCGCCCTGCCCTGCCACGAGCCAGCCTGATGCACTGCAGTGATTACAAAAAGACAACGACAACATGCACACATTGTGCCGCACAGCAAGGTCTGTGAAGAAAGCGAAACCAGAGCAAGCAGCAATAAGAAATGCAGTTCAAAACGGGTCTCTTGCTTTCATTCAAACTGGTATGGCGTAGGTCACAGGCCTGACGGACATGCAGGCTTATTGATCGCTCAGTGCTGGGAAATGCTTGCACTGACGAACAGGATACTTTTCAAACACGGTAAATGTGGCAGCAGGAGACATGACGTTCTCTAAAACCAAGGTTAAAACCAGCCAGCCGCTTTTTAAACTGAAAAATGATGAGAGCTGGTTACGGTCTTCCAGATTGCATTTTCACCAGCACTTGTGAAAAGAGTGAAATCAGCCATAGCCTGCTAAATTATTAAAGTAAAGTGTATGGACTCTCTTCCAACTGTAGTGATCACACACATCTATGACAAATCCAGCATAACAGGATGCATTGCAGAAATGTATATACTCTTTCCCAACCTAATTTTCCCCAAGTATGAGCAAGTCAGTGGCACAAGGAAGTGAAATTGTTCAAATACGCTGACATGCCAATCAGTAAACATTATTTCTAGTCAGCCCGTTGACTGCAAATCAAACTCTGATACAAGCGAGCAATCTGGTTGTTGACAAGGGAGGTCACTGGAAGCATGATATTTTATCCAGGATGCAGACAAACAAGCACGAGAGACTGAGTCAAGTCTGTCAATATACATCAGGCAAAGAACATCGCCCGGCTTACACACACCTTTTCACATCTCTATTCTTCAAAAACAAATTAAACAAATACATGAGAGAAAAAGTCTCCGTCATACCCAAATACTGCAGGTGAAGCACTTCGGAGCGAGCAACTTGCTGATGCCGATTCATATTCCGTTCACTTCAGCCTTTCCTTTTCGAAGTGTGAGACTGCTGTCCTGCCTTGCAAGACTGTGACTAAAACACGAGCCAATAGGATTTGAGCGCGAGCTGTTATTGAGCATTTCATTGGATAGACAGTAGACCTACTGAATAAACACTCCTCATCATCAATAGACCAATTTTAAGTTGATGGTGACGTTTTTTTGTGGGCGGAGCTTAGAGGTGGAGGCAGCATGATACCTATTGCGGCTACCCTAACGTTAGTTTGCAAGTTTTGTTAGCTTGTTTTTTACAATGACTGGAGAAAATCCGATTATATCTTAATGTGCAAGGTCACACACTCATTTGTAGAAGTTAATTGTAACGGACGGAACCAGATTGGCAAACCCATGTGGTAATTGGAAGACTTGTGTGGTACGATCCACAGTTCTGCCTAGCCAGCGCCAAGACGACGACAATGTAAGGTAATTCCAGCATTCATTTTTCATTGATTCTTGCACCCAACAACACAAAAAGACGACATTTATTCATAATAATAATAATTTAAGCTCCTTATTATGTAGCCGAATCACATTCATGAATTAACATTAAATACAAGGCACAGGCTATTTTATTGTAGTTGTCTTTTTATATAGTTATATTAGAATGGCTGTACAATTTTACTCAAATTATTATAAAGGTTGCACGTGAACGAATCGGTTGAGTGAATAATTCACATACAAAAACATCACTTGACTCCACCAACTGGCGTAATGTAACTTGCCGAAACATGAGATTCAAAAGAATCAAAATCACTGAGATGCATCCTTTAAGGTTTCAAAACTCAGGAACTAAAAGCCAAAATCCCCCACCACCTGTAGGTATTTTTTAAAGACATGTGATATTGACATTTGGGCCCGGTTTCACAGACAGGGCTAAAATTAAGCCAGGATTAGGCCTTTGTTCAATAAGGGCATTTAGGTACATTTTATAATACCAGATAGACGTCAGCAGCGTCTTACGTCATCAGCGTCAATACGGACTCGCGAATGCGGCTTGACAACAGAACCGTAAGAGAATACGATGCTGAATAAAGTCGTAGTTTTTGTTATTTTTGGAACAAAATGTATTTTCGATGCTTCAAAAAATACTAACTAACCCACTGATGTCACATGGACTACTTTTCAATGGAGGGACAGAAAACTCTCGGACTAAATCTAAAATATCTTAAACTGTGTTCCGAAGATGAACGGGCTTTTAAACGAAATGAGAGTGAGTCATTAATGACACAATTTTTGTTTTTGGGTGAACTAGCCCTTTACAATATGTCAGTGAAAGTTGCTTTCAGTTAAAATAGTTCAAACATTCATTTTAGTCTTGGACTAGGCTTACTGTAGGCCTTGTCTGTGAAACTGGGGGTTGATGTTGTGAACATATGGACTAGGAGAGCATCATCTTCATTGGAGAATTAATATGCAAAGTAGGACCAGGAAGAAAATGGTAACAAACAGATAGTAAGAAAACAGCAACAAACAACTAATCTGACATACCGTTAAGTTAAAACTTTATGACAAACTAAAACACAAATATAATATAAGGTTAGACTACATAATAATTACACACACACACACACCTGAACTGCCTGTACATTACCCATTACTTCACCCTACAGAATGTCAACAAAAACGCTTATGGATGTAGATAAATAATAAAAGCTGATCACAGTTTATAAACCATATGGGTAAATGTCGCAAGCGATCCTTTATGCATCTCACATTCACAAAATGCTGCCACTGCCTTTGAAAGCAATTGTGAAAGAACTTATTTGTAACCTAGAATCACGCAATGAATCCCTAAGCAATCTTCAGTAAGTGTTCTCGCAACAGTTGTCGAGCACGAGAAAGATTGTACACATGTCAAGAAACTCAAGATGACAGATACAGATTGACACAGATCGGCGAATTAAACGTGTTTTACCTTCAGCACGGGAACGGAGATCCGACATAGTTCTCTGAACTGGCGGCATTGGTCCACCTGTCAACTAACGTTAAACGCTTAAAACTCCCAGTTGCGTTTCTCTCTTCACCCGTCTAGGGATTTTAAGCGCCGGTGACAGTAACCAAAGTAGCTTTCCCCCACTCCCGTGACCGGTAACCATTTATTTAGGGTTAGAATTCATGTTGTTGTTGATGAACCGCGGCAGTTCCGCACTCGATAACACGCTCCAGCATCAGCGCGCGGAGCTGAAAGCGAAATCTCTCCAGCACGAACAGGAATCGATACGCTTGAAACACTGAATGTGAGCGAGCTCTGCCGATTCACAAATTGGACCGTGCCAACTAAGAGCGCAGAGGGGGGGTCGACTCGAAATAACGTGTGAAAGCTAGTCGTTCTCACTCTGAAAACCATCAATGTCTTAAATAAATGATATTTTCTATATAAAAAATACAAGCATGTTTTGATATATATACAAAATGCGAGTTTTACCATGCTAAATAAAAACTGATCGAAAATACTGTTCCCTAATTTGATCTCAGTGTGGAAAGGTCTTCAGGAGATTCCCTGCTGCAGTTACTCTCATTGTTTCGAAGGGGGATTGCAGAGACAATGACAGCCCACTATTTCTTTATTTTAGGCCCTGAAGCAATCACGACTCTGCAATTGCCTCCCATATTACCCTTCAGCCGGAAAACATGATGGGTTTGCTGCTGAATTCTGAGGATTTGCTCTCAACAAGCCACATGTTGCAGAATTCTCCATTCCTGTTCCTTAGGCCCACTGGTTTTGATAGCATTGCTGTTGTTATAATTAAATGAATACAGTTAAAAATTAATAAATAAAGAACACCACTCAAATGGTTACAATTTTTATAAACACATTTTCTGCCTTTATCACTCCCTAAATATCCGAATAAGGCATCCACATCCATTGAGTATTATCTCAATTTTCTTTTATTGCAGACACTATTGTATTGATAATACAAGATCTATGATATTTCAACCCACAAATAATAACATTTCTTGCCCCTATTGCAAAAGGTTTTTGGGCTTTCTATCAAGCATCCACCCGCCTGCATTGATTTGGGTCTATTGCTCCTGAGGTTGCCTAGCAACAGAGACAAGATGCCTGCCTCTTTGATTATGTTTGCTGTGGTTTTATCTTTGAGCACATATCAGTCTAAATAATGACTTCTCTCAATAGACACACAGACACACGCTCCCTCATTCAGACAGATATAAATAGATCAGTCTTCTTCTTTTTCAAACATTATCAGAGGAACATTTGGGGGAATAAAGCTGCATAAATGGTGCATTTAGAATATGAAAATTGCATTGACACTGTACATACCGTATTCTTATATAAATAAACTAAAAAAAAACTATACTGTAAAAAAATATTGTTGGTTTAACTTAAAAAATGAAGTAACCTGGTTGCCTTAAAATTTTGAGTTAATTGAACTGGAAAAATTGAGTTAATACAATGAAGGAGATTGATTTAAGCATCAGAAACTCAAACTATTATGTTATCTGAACTACATCAATTATTTAAGTTGATTTGACAAAAGAAAAAAATGTTGTGATTATCTATCTATCTATCTATCTATCTATCTATCTATCTATCTATCTATCTATCTATCTATCTATCTATCTATCTATCTATCTATCTATCTATCTATCTATTAGATGTAAATTAAGTAAAGGGAAAAACATACCCACAAAAGCAGTTCAACACATTAAAGTCCCCGTGAAATCAAAATTGAACCTATTTACTTTGTTAGCGCATATTACTAGTCTTGTGGTGAACAATTAATCCGTGCAAGTAAAAATATATTTAAAAAATGTTTTACCTTCGTAATCTTTAATCAAAATCTGAAAAGTTACTTCCGGTCTGGAACGGTTTCTTTTTCTGATGACGTAGGTTTCACAACTTGGGTGGGGAAACGCTTAACCACTCCCCTCAAACCGTTAGTTTGCTATGAGCGAGAGATGGAGAGGAGGAGCGCTAGACTAAAACCCTGCCCTCTGTTCAATATTCCGTTTCACTTGGAAATACGTCACAGCACTGGAGAAAAATCTTTTGCAACTTCCGGTTCACGGGGACTTTAAATCCTCATAACTCATTCATATTACATGCACTAAAGTTCAAGCCACACAGTGACATCTTATTCTCCAGTAAACAGGGCCTGGAATCATTTGTGCTCAAAGCATGTGGTAAGAGGCCATCTCTGTGATAAATGAGCCCATGAGCCATCCAAATACTCTATTCCTGTCAGACCACACAACATCTGCACTCACTGGAGGCTATGAGTGTCATCTACACTTATTGACAGTCTCTCACTGCATGTTCTTGGGACCATTCAATATTCAAAGGAATGCTCATGTATGTATTTATGAATAACATGTTGATTCTTTTGGGAAGAATGTCTGAATTGAGAAAGAGATTATACTTTTAGTTTTAAACGGCATCAGTATATGAGTTTGAGATGGACTGGACTAGAATAGCACTCATGAAAGAACCAAGAGCAATGCTCGTCACTCAATCAACAGTCGGTGGCACCATCTGTCCTGAACAGCGCTGGCAACCTATCAGCCGATTCAATAAGAAAGGCCCCTTGGAATTGATGGATCTTCTAACAATAGCTGAGGATTCTGACACATTAAAGCCTGGGTCTGGGTGAAAAGACAGCATGCACAGATATTGATCGAGGAATCAAATTAGAATTAAAAACATGCATATTTATTTTTGCTCATATAAGGCTATAATGCAGGGTGTGGCATTCTGCGCGATTGGGTATTTTATCGCGAAGAGATAAAGAGACTGGAAGAGAGTAGACTGGATCAAATAGCAAATAAATACATTTGAATTAATCAAGGTACCTTTATTAAATGGCTTATGTTGTGCTGGTCAGTATACAGCTGTATAGATGATAGGTGCATATACGTTGTGAACCACGTGCAAGAACACGAGTGCTAAAAATTGGTTGCAATCTGAAACATCGTCGATACAGGCCGCTAAAAAATACATATAGTACCTTTAAAGCCTGGAATGATGCACCAAGATAAACTAGCGCCGATGACAAATTACAGAGTTTTACATCAAGTTCTTGACACATTTTCACATTTGATATAGTAAGAGAGATCTTTGGGCTTTTCGATTTTTTTTAACTTTACAGACTCAAAATACATTTTAAAGGCTGATTTAAAATGAGCAAAGTTGGGTTTTAAGTTACTCTATTTAGTTTGATGAATATGAAATTTTACTAATAATAGAAACAAATCGATAACATACATTTTAACTAACACATTTTAAAAGTCAAATGAGTTTGTATGAAGACAGATGACACATTTAAGACAAGGTTGCAGTTCATTTTAACACCAAATTGATACATCTCATACCAAAACAAAAGATTGAAGAACAGTGACTTTCAAAAAATAAGTGCACTAAAGACTCTTGCAATATCCAGAATTCCAGATGAAACTGCTAATGTCTTTCATATTCTGTGAGTAATTTTAAAAGACACTTCTTTGGTTTTATTTGATACACAATACCGACTTAGAACTGAGAACTGCTCAATTGGTTACTGCATTTATCATTATTTAAAGTTGATCTAGCTAGACTTTGCAGTGTGAATCCTAGAGCTCTAATTTTTGAATAGAGATAATATTTTGGCAGAAATAGACTTCATGACAATGCCATATTCTTTAACAGAAATATGGCACTTAAGTTTCAGACAGTAATACTCAGGACAGTTTGTCCATCAGAATTCAACAACTGACTAACTAATAGTATCAGACTGAAACCAATGTCTTAAAAGTAATGTATTTCTTTGGTGTGTAATATACCAAAATAGGCGAGAAGTTTAAAAGCCATGTCAAAAAGACTTGCTTGTGAAAATTAGATAAAGAAAGAGGTGGGTTTTTTTTTAATATCAAAACTGCATCTAAGGAAAAAAAATGTATACCACCAAGTTGATTAATTAAATGGTTAGGGAAAATATTCCACATAGAGCAATTATCTTTTTAAGCCAAGTTATTTTAAAAGTGCATAATATATTTTTTGAGTATTTTTCCTCCCCAAACAAAATCAAATAACAACATGTCAAATTCTTTGGTAAATGTCTTGGGTACAAATAGAGCTATATACACAGATCTTGACAAACCTTCAGATTTAGACAATTAAACGTGACCATAAATGGATAAATCTCTCTGCAACCAGAGTCAACCTTTCTTTTTGTACTGTTGATAATCGGATTAAAGTTAAGCGGAGCAGAAAAAGAAACGGTGAGATTGGGCAGTCTTGTCTGATGCCCCTAGAAAAAAAAAAAAAAAAAATCTACCTTAAGTCCCATTAACCATTTTAACAGAGCTTTTACATTCGGTGTACATGGTTGTAATTTTAAGTATATATTTTAATTTTAAGTATAATTTAAAGTATATTCTAATATTGCAAACATGAATTTGTGTTCTACTATATCAAACGCTTTATTATAATCAACAAATAGTATTAGATTGTCATTATTGAGAAGGTGATTATAATCAATAAAAAAAAAAGAATAAGATGAATATTATTACAGATATGCCTCCCTTTCATGAACCCAGACAGAGACTGATCAATTAAGGAGTCCAATCCAAATTTCAGCCTGCACTGTAAAAAATAATTGTGATTTTAACAGTAGTGCAAAAGTGTTAATTCATTGTTAAACTGTAACTGTTAGGAAAAATACTGAGTGCAACCTGAATGAGGAAACATTCTAGGCCGTGACGCATTTCCCATTAGCACCAATAGTCTCTATGATCATCTCGGCTCCCACATGTTTTTAATAAATCCAGCCCCTGACCTATCGAGTTAAGAATAAGTATAGGCTAAGTGTAGCAATTCACTAATCAGTAAGTTCAGACTCTGCCCCCTGCTGGTGTTGGACTTGTTGTGAAAGATTGAACCCTCACATTTTGAATTGCCTGAGAGCACCTTTTCAATTATTAAACCATATTAAGAACTACAACTTATTTATCAGTCATACAATTCAACAATCCTCTTATAAAATCCTGAGCGACTCTGAAGCTCGTTTATTAAACCATATGTACAAATCACATCAAACGCTCCACTGAATAAGATTTAAGGCTAAATAAGTTGCTGTAGACAACATGGACTTATATTAATCTGCATTGTTCATAAAAATGATGAGCTGGTTGGGTCAATCACCTCTGTGACGCATGGACATCCTTGACTTAATCATGCTTGGTCCAATGGTGACGACAGCATTGTTGAAAACAGGATTTTAATAAACAAAATAAAATTTGATAATGCATCCTTTAAAACTATGTGTGTCTATATATATATATATATATATATATATATATATATATATATATAACATTCAATCCTTTCCCTATTGAAGAATTCCCCAAACAAGAGACCTTCCTTTCTTTGGATTTCTTCAAGTGTGCGTTCTTTTGTCAATGTCCTGATCTTGAAGTTTCAATCTTCAATCCGATCAAACAATCATACTTCAAACCCAACTGCTAACCATAACCAGCCTGACTGGATGGTTAGCAATGTTTGCCATATCAACAAGGATGTTGATTCAGGAACATTAATAATAGACATGGTGAGGCTTGAGCACTAATCACTGACACTGACAAACTCTGACATAACATATCATTTTGTGAGAGATCAGTGAGTGAAAGATGCCTGGGAACATACAAAACTGACACTGACTTCAGAGAAAACTCTGAGCTGGAGCATAATGAGGGATGGATTTAAATGTTCATGGGCAGACCTACTTTAGATAAGCTCTCCAGATCATGGTTCACCATATAGTCTTGAGGAAATCGAAAAAAGCCCATGAATAAAATGTATTCCTCTATCTGAGTATATTGGCATATGGCTGGAAACGGATTGAACTTCAAAATGAAATGCAGCCCAATATATTCATCAGTCACAAGCAAGTTACTGCATGAATACACTGTGTGCAGAATTATTAGGCAAGTGAGTATTTTGACCATATCATCATGTTTATGCATTTTTTCCAACTCCTAGCTGTATAAACTTGAATGCTTATTGGATTTAAGCATTTCAGGTGATGTGTTTTTGTGTAATGAGGGAGGGTGTGGCCTAATGAGAAAAAACACCCTATATCAGGTGTGCATAATTATTAGGCAGCTTCTTTTCCTCAGGCAAAATGGGCCAAAAAAGGGATTTAACTGACTTAGAAAAGTCAAAAATTGTAAAAAGTCTTTCAGAGGGATGCAGTACTCTAGAAATTGCTAAGATATTGGGGCGTGATCACAGAACTATCAAACGTTTTGTAGCAAAACCTCAACAGAGTCGCAAGAAACGTGCTGAGAAAAAAAAAAACGCAAATTAACTTCCAAAGATTTGAGAAGAATCAAACGTGAAGTGACCAGGAACCCATTATCCTCCAGTGCAGTCATATTTCAGAACTGCAACCTACCTGGAGTGCCCAGAAGTACAAGGTGTTTAGTGCTCAGAGACATGGCCAAGGTAAGGAAGGCTGAAATCCGACCTCCACTGAACAAGAAACATAAGTTGAAACGTCAAGACTGGGCCAGGAAATATCTGAAGACAGATTTTTCAAAGGTTTTATGGACTGATTGAGATGAGAGTGACTCTAGACGGACCAGATGGATGGGCCCGTGGCTGGATCAGTAATGGGCACAGAGCTCCACTTCGACTCAGGCGACAGCAAGGTGGAGGTGGGGTAATGGTATGGGCTGGTATTATTAAAGATGAGCTAGTTGGACCTTTTCGGTTTGAAAATGGACTCAAAATAAACTCCCAAACCTACTGCCAGTTTTTAGAAGATACTTTCTTCAAGCAGTGGTACAAGAAAAAGTCTGCATCTTTCAAGAAGTCCATGATTTTTATGCAGGACAATGCTCCATCGCATGCATCAAAGTACTCCACTGCGTGGCTAGCCAGTAAAGGCCTTAAAGATGAAAGAATTATGACATGGCCCCCTTCGTCACCTGATTTAAACCCTATTGAGAACTTGTGGGCCCTTCTTAAACGGGAGATTTACAGTGAAGGGAAACAGTACACCTCTCTGAACAGTGTATGGGAGGCTGTGGTGGCTGCTGCACAAAAAGTTGATCATCAACAGATCAAGAAACTGACAGACTCCATGAATGGAAGGCTTGTAACTGTTATTGAAAAGAAGGGTGGCTATATTGGTCACTGATCTTTTTTTTTTAAATGTTAGAAATGTTTATTTGTAAACTGAGTGGTTTGTTTCTGTAATTCTCACTTTAACAGATTAAAATAAACTGCTGTTTATTTAAAAAAAAGTGAGAAGGGAACATTTTCATTTTGCTGCGTAATAATTCTGCACACTAAGAGTTGCCTAATAATTGTGCACACAGATATTCTCCTTAGAAATCCAAAACCTCACTTTTGCTTTCTTAAATATTCAGGATTGAGGGTTTATTAACGTTTTGGATTGACTGAGAGCACATTATTTGTTCAATAATAAAATTAATCCTCAAAAATACAACTTGCCTAATAATTTTGCACATAGTGTATACAGGCAGCAACTCACTGGTTGATTTGCGACTTCTAAATGAGACTTTCTTTTAAACTGTCATGCTACTGTTTGAAATGCAATGCATATCTCATCTGACTGTGTTTAACTCAGATAACTCCTTTAGGGAGTGGCCGATAGACTTCGTAAGAACCGACAGATAAAGCATGATAAATGAGAGGGCACAAAGAGGCCACTGCAAGAGGTTTGTCTGTCATTTGCAATTATAGTTTCTTGAAGCCATTACTTCATCAAATAACTTATTTGTAATCTTATATGATGCTGAAGTAAGAATGTGAAATTTAAAAGGTGTTACATAAATAATCTGCCCTTAAAATAATCAGATACATGTCAATGCTCCTTTCCTGTGTTGATGTATTTCTTGTTGAAACACATTCAACTCTGTAAAAAATATTCCTGTAAAAAAACGGTAAACCACTCCCAGCTGTGGTTGCCAGCATCATACCGTAAAAATACCGTGTGTTACTGTTTTTGAAATTAACAGCAAACACCGTATTGTCAGCTAGAGTTTAAAACTTTAATTTAACAGCTATATGCTCTCTAACACAAAATCAGCAACACACCGTATTTTAATGGTATGATGCTGGCAACCACAGCTGCCAGTAGTTTACTGTTTTTTTACAGGATTATTTTTTACAGTGAACATATTCAGTCTTTGAGCCAATTGTGCTACATTACAGTCACAAACTATGATTTCCTACACTTGCTTGTCAGTCGGTTGCCTACATTAAAACACTACCGTTCAAAAGTTTGGTGTCATTGCAAATTTGACAATAAAGACATTTATATTGTAACAAAAGATTTATGTTTCAAATAAATACTCTTCTTTTCAACTATTCATCAAAGAATCAAGAAAATTGTATCGATATTTCAGAACATTACAGCTGATTTGACTCTACGTTTGATCAAATACAACATTAACATAAAAATCTTACTGGTCCCAAGCTTGAAAATTCATTCAATTCATTCAATTTAAAATTGTCCATTTACACAAATATGACTTTCTAAAGTAATAGATGAAAACAAGCCACAAACCTTTAACATCAATGATTTGAAAAAGAATCTTTGCTATATGTGACATTTTTATTTCTTTAAAACATGCTCACTTAAAAGGCCTTTTGTCTAATACAGAAAATGTATCACATTTTCATCACAAGTCATTTTTCATCACTCTTTTTGTCACTGTGCACAAGGTGTGAGTCGGCCTAGCGCTCTGGCACACACAATATGGCTCGGCCCACTTCTGCAGTGCTGTAGTACTCACACAACAGCCGAAATGCTTCCTGCAGCCCCCACTGGAGGGCGGATGGGTGCAAAAATGCCAGCCAATGACAGCTGAGCTCCATTTCACCTCATGCTCAAGCACAGCAGGTGTTTGCATGCAGACCGAGCGCAATCTTCTAAGTGGCATGAAACTGCAGTGCATTAAGAAGCTCTGAGCTCCATTGGGAACCACAGTAGATAATTGTAAAGAAAAAAAGTCTCTCCATCTTCCTGACAAGCAATCATAAAAGATTTAGAACGTCTAACTGGTGAAAATTTCCAAAGCAAATCAATGCACCTCTCAATTTATATATATGCACTTTCTGTCTCAACTAACAAACATAAAACATTTTTTAAAGAGGAATGTTCAACCAAAAACATTCAACCATGAATATTCTGTCATCAAGTCAAACCTGTATGATTCTCTGGATACATTTTAGCTTAGGGTCCAATTCTAACTATTAAGATGGCTTATTAGCATGCATATTGCTAGGATATTGTCTACTTATTAGTACTTATAAATCTCACACAGTATCAATGACTTCTGCATGACCTTATTCTATACAGTATATCCCTTAATCCTACCCAAAACCTAAATGTAACAACTACTGTATTGCTGGGTTGTTTTAACCAAACTTTGGGTCAAATATGGACAAACACAGCCATTGGATTAAATTTTTTAACTGCATTTTGTTTGGGTTAGTCCATATTTGACCCAAAGTTGGGTTAAAATGACCCAGCATTTTTAGAGTGTACTAACTACAGTATTAATAAGCAGTTTTTGAGAGTTTATTGAGGCAAAAGTTGCAGTTAATAGTAATTTAATAGTGAGAACTGGACCCTATCTAAAGTGGGACCGATTGAGCAAATGAAAGATTTTTTTCTTTACACCTAAAGGTCACAAAGACAGGCATACATTTGACATGACATAGACATGAGTCAAGGTCTATTCATTGTCAAAAAGAGACAAATCTATGGCATGATAAATTATTTAAAAAGACTATCAGTTTCTTCATGGTCGGTTTTCTCAGTAACCATGGCAAGGCCACATGCATTATTAACATGTACAGGAACACGGGTGGTGAGGCTGACGGTAACGCACAGATCTGCCTCTTTCCAGATCTGCTCGCTGTGCCTGGGCTCCAGGGGACATCATGGAGCAAACCCGGGGCTAATTATATTCATCCACCCATGAATCCGAGGGATTAAAATGCCTTTTTCTTTTTGGACCATGTAAGTCGACGCAATGGAGGAGGCTTTGTTGACACCGGAGGATGGAAAGAGGCAGAAGAGGGTGAGATTCCGGGTGGCCTCAGGGAACAGCGGGCGGGTTTTGAAAGAGATGTTCAAGGATGAAGGGCCATCGGATTCCCTGGATTCAGACTGCACCAGCTGCTCCGAGGCAGACCGGGCCAGCACTCCATCCACCACCGGGGAGGCGAACGGACACTTCTTGGGCTCGGAGCTGGATGACAGCGGAAGTGACCCTGATGACTTGCTGATGTTTGCAGGGGGAAGAGACAAAGTGTTGGGTACCAAACGAGTGAATATCCTCAGTAAAAATGGAACGGTTCGAGGAGTCAAGCACAAAGTCAGTGCTGGCCAAATACGCTTTGATAACTTGGCTAAAAACAATGGGGTAAGTCATAGAGTGACAGCTTTCTCAAGCATCTCTAAAATCTTTAATCCCTGACGGTGGATGTCAATGCACATTAAAGGCTAACATTGCCATTAGCAGACTATCGACAGCTGCTCAAAAGCTTTCAAGAATTTTTTCTTGTGTCCTTAACAGGGTCAGAACCCTTTTCCTGAGCCGCTATTGGTTACAGAGCCTGTTACCTTCTCTCAGGTTTTGGTCAGACAAACAAGCTGTCCCACTAAGCAAGATCACTGTACGATTAAAGATTAATGATGCATTTCTTTAAGTGTTTTGGCTAAGTTAATTATTTTAATGTATTCTCTGGACCTATGCTTTGTTGTTGAGCACTAAAACAGTGCTGTAATTCTATATCATTTTTAACAGGGGGTAAACAGGGATTAAATGGACTTTCATAAATCCAATGAAAACAACATATACCCCCAGTTTCATATACAAGGCATGTTTAGTCCAAGACTAAAATGCATGTTTGAGCTGTTTTAACTGAAATCAATTTGCACAGACACAGCTTAAAATATTTCAGTGCTATTGTTTTTCTCAAGATGCAAACCAGTTTTCTGAAGCACGTTTATAAAAGCTACATAAATGTTCTAATTAAAGCACTGGTAAGATAATTTAGTTTCTTTACTTTTAATGAAGAGGATTGTGTGTTGAGTCTGCAACTTACTTTCAGTTTTATTTGCGCGGTGGCTTGATGAAGAGATGCTCAGCTGCTCGTTTGCGGCAATGCGTGCTGTCACATGATCAGGCTACAACACGTCATAAGACCATTTTGCAAGATGTAAACAACACTGTCCAGAAACACTTCCTGTTTCAGTTTGTAACTGCTTTCTTTATTTCACATGTAAAGAAAACATCTTAAAGATGTTTGTTTAACTTTTTGATTAAGTTTTATATGTTCTGTTGGTTGTATTTTATCACAGGAAGTGCTTCTGGACCAGTGTTTACATCTTGCAAAATGGTCTATAACACACTTTATTTTTGCATTGATTGTTGCGCGGAGCAGATGCAATTAGACTTGTTCAGTTTTATCTGGAATGCATTTCAGACTCCTGAAGTGGTTTGAGCGATCGGATTTTAATCCGTCTCAAATGCGTTTCGGAGAGGATTTAGCCTACACCAAGGCATGTATAAAACTTCACAGAAATGGTCTTAAGAATAGTCTTAAGAGTCAAAACATTCTTAGGAAAAATTCTTGACTTGTCTAAGACAAGGAAACATTTATAAAGCGGCTAAAAGCAACAATTGGCTCAGCAAAGTCTAGACTGATTCTTAAAGGGATATACTCCACTTTTCTTTTCTTTTTTTTCTTTTTTTTTGGAACTATAGGCTCATTTTACAACTCCCTCAGAGTAACAGTTGAGTTTTACCATTTTCGAATCCATTCATCCGATTTTCTGATATTTTGAAGAATATCAGTAACCAGACAGTTTCTGGTCTCATTAACTATCATCTATGGCAGTATGAATGGATTCAAAAATCAAAAGTAAAACTCAATCGTTTAACTCTGGGGGAGTTGTAAAATGAACCTATTTCCAAAAAAAAGTATTGTCAACCAATGATGTCAACCCAAAATGGCTTCCCCCAACCTGTGAATCATCCAATAATGAGCCTGCAAGGATGAAGTCACAGCAGCATGACAACAATCATTTTATGTATTTTATAAAATCCTTTAGGCTATTTAAGACACTGAATTTACATTTATTTAAAAAAAAAATGGATTTGCATTGTGCAAAATTATTACAAATGAAGTGTTGATGCTACGGAATCCATTTATATTGATATGTCTCCTCATTTATAGTTAGAGCAATGATGCAATGATGTTTTGTTCCTTCTTCATATTTTAATATATATATATATATATATATATATATATATATATATATATATATTTCCCTAACATTTTAATGGTTTAAGCAAAAAAAAAAAAAAAATTAAAAAAAAATAAAATAAAAAACAACAACAATGTTTGCACATCACTTTTGGCCATGTTGGTGTGGTTAGTGCCAAAATATTGCTATTTAAACCTCTGGGGCTGTATACATATATTTTAAGAATATATCAAGACTTAAACTAGTTGCTCCAGAGGCCTGCGACCTCTGACATACAGTATATATAGCAATTGTAAATCGTTTTGGATGGAAGCGCCAGCTTAATGAATAAATGCAAGTTGTAAATGTAAACGTGAGAATATAAAGGGTGATTCAGTGGTTGAGGGTGGCCATTTTGGGTTGACGTCATTGTAGTCCATAGTTTGCAACACTTAACTTTCACCTCAGTCAGCACTTAAGAATCAGTCTGAGACTTCACTGCAAGTTGCTTTTACCTTCTTTATAAAATCTCTTACCCTCTTTAGTCCAACTTTTTACTAGGAATTTTTTGACACTTAAGTCAAAGCTTAAGAGCATTTCTGATACAGGCCCTGGTCATTTCACGTGTAAACAGGCCATAAGTTTCCTGTCCAAATGCATTGGAGACACTGTATTTTCTTCTCCTGCAACATTGAATCTTTATTTATCAAAGCAGCTAAAGCAAACCACAACCTTTGACTGATATGTGTAAACGATTTATGAGCTGCTATGTCAGATAAGGATGGTAAAAATCAGTGTGACAATATCTTTAATATGCGCTGTAGATCAAAGTGCACTATAAATTAAATTATTTATTGGCACGTCATGCTTTGATTAGCTTGACTTTTGCTCTATGCTTGTAATAGTGTTGTTATTGGAATTTGAGAATTTGTCCTCAACTAGTAGGCTAAAAGCCGCTAGTAAGATCACGTTAGCCAAACACAACGTTACATAAGACAGCGCAGGTCCATCCTCACTTTAAAATGTGTGAAGGTTGAGTCTATTTTTGTTCTTTGCAAAGGAAAAAAACAGCTTCACTCTTCCAAGAAAGAAAGGTAAATCTCAGGAACAGTGACTCACAAAATCAATAGATGTTCAGCTGTTGCCTCATGTTACCTAAAGCTGCTGAAAATCTTGTACACACAATATAGTTTTGATTTTACTATTCATTTGCAGCTTTAAAGATATTGAACTGATCTATTCTTTTAATTCTGAATGTTTTGTTGCAAATTTCTTTGCTCACTCATTGAATCAATGAGATGTGATGGATAACTTTGAGAGAGAGACTCTTGCCTAACACCAGACTTCTATGTTTTCTTTCTCTCAGCCAGAACTGACTCTCGAGTTCGGGCGAATTGTAATCTACACCACCAGTTTTCGAGTGGTCAGGACTACGTTTGAGCGATGCGAGCTGGTCCGAAAGATCTTTCAGAACCACAGGGTGAAGTTCATAGAGAAGAACATCGCTTTAGACAGTGAATACGGAAAGGAACTGGAGACACGCTGCAAACGAGTGGGTGAACCTCCCTCTCTGCCTGTGGTCTTCATTGATGGACACTACCTAGGGGTCAGCGTTCAAACTATTCATACTGAACATCATTATGCTAATGTTTGAACTCTGGATAATGATTTGCATATGTCTTGCACATCCAGGGTGCAGAGAAAATACTTGCAATGAATGAATTAGGGGAGCTTCAGGATCTCCTCACCAAAATTGAGGTACATATTGATATTTGACACTAAAATATGTTCCATAAGGGACTTTCTGCAGAGAATAACCATTTAGGGTTAACAGTTCTCAAAAGAACCAAAATAATTAAAGGTTTTTTTTTTTATTGGCATTTGGTTCCACAAAGAATCTTTTTTAACCTACACTCTAAAAAATGCTGGGTTGTTTCAACCCAATTTTGGGTCAAATATGGACAAACCCGAAATGTTGGGTTAAAAATGTAATGTAAAAATTTAACCCAACGGCTGGGTTAGTCCATATTTGACCCAAAGTTGGGTTAAAACAACCCAGCATTTTTTAGAGTGTAGATTTTTAAAATGTTCCACACTAAGAAAAAAAAAAGATTCTTATAAGAACTGTTCACTGAACGATTCTTTGGGGAACCCAGAATTGTTCTTCTATGGCATCTTTGCAGTAACCCCTATACCTTTATTTTTAAGGGTGTAGTGTGAAATGTTTTTCAAAAAAAATCAGAAGGACACTTTTCCACCATAAGGCACATTTTGTGCATTTAAAACATTCCATGTTAAAGGTTCAACCATTAATTTCAATAAAGAACCATCATTTTTAAGTGTAGTAAAGACCAATAGCCTACATATATGTTCTTACACAAGACAGACATTCACCCTAAAAAGTGCTGGGTTATTTCAACCCAAATTTGGGTCTAATATGGACAAACCCAAATGTTGGGTTAAAAATTGTTGGGTTCAAATTTTGAATTATATATATTTTTTTTGTCCATAATTTGATCCAGATTTGGACTTAAACAACCCATCATTGTTTAAAGTGTTGGTTCTAATTGCACAAGTATAAAGCCAAATCTGGTTTATTGCCATGGTTTATTTTATCAAGGAAAACGGAACCACTTATAAGAGGAAATGTTTATTATTGCTGGTCATTCATTGTCATTCAACTATATCAGTGATTAATATTATTTGCATTACACTTTCTACAAATGTATAGATTTAAATACCTTTCTATATGCTATTCTCAAACAAAGTGTCAATAATGACATACACTTTTTAGTAAAATAAAATAAAAAACATACAGTGCAGAGCAGCCCAAAATACAAGCTTGTACTTGTCTTACTTTTAAGGCTTTCAAATGATTAATCGCGATTAATCGCATCCAAAATAAAAAATTCTGTTTACATAGTACACTGTATATAATTATTTTGTATATATATATATATATATATACACACACATGCATGTATATTTAAGAAAAAATATTAGTTATATATAAAATATTTATACAGTATATACATGAAAATATTTCTTAAATATATACAAGCATGTGTGTGTATTTATATATATATATAAAATAATTATACACAGTGCACCCACATATATTATGTAAACACAAACTTTTATTTTGGATGCGATTAATCGTTTGACAGCCCTACTTATTTTATATAATAAATAAAGCATCACTCAGATTGTATCATAAAGAGCATCTGCACACAGGTCCAGCGTGTAATTAAAATTCATTCCCATTTCTCTCTGTCCAATCGTAGAGGGTTCAGCACCCCGACACATGCCAGACGTGTGGGGGATTTGCCTTTGTCCCGTGCCCTATGTGCCATGGCAGCAAAATGTCTGTGTTTCGCAACTGCTTCACAGACTCCTTCAAAGCTCTGAAGTGCACAGCGTGCAACGAGAACGGTCTCCAGCCCTGCTCCAGCTGTTCTCACTGAGGTCCTCTTCAAGTGCCTGCAACCCCTTCCCAACACCATCTCCACTCCCATAAGCCATGTATAAAACAAGAGATGCAGAAAGAACTGCTATTTGTGAATAAAACATTTTGTTTTTTGTTAGAAAATTTAATTTGTGTCTACAGAGTTTTTACCATATTTGCTATTTGAATATTTATTACAGCGAAGGCTTTTTGTCACATGCCAACAGATGTCTGGCAACATTACTCAATCCAACAGCATGGACGCTGTCTGTTGCTGTAAATAAATATAGCAATTAAGTAAATTAACTACTGGTTCAGAGAGGCATATCATCTTTCTGAGTCATGTGATCCCAGCATGAACCAAAATTCAAAGCATTATCAGGTAAACCTCAAAACGAATGATGCTGTTCCCCACTGAGAAGATCAGGAGCAACAAAAAAGACCACATGATAAAAGATATTATTAGTAACGTATTATATATATTAGTGTTTTTATTTTCCAGCCAATCAGAGATTTCTAATTACGTACGGTATATTTAATTATTCAAACTTACGCAGGAATCAAATTGCAAGACATCGAAATAGGATGACCTAATGTCTGTGTACGAATATCACTTTTCAGTTCAATTACAGGGCTGATTAAACATAGCTTCAAATCTATTAATATTTAAAAGAAGTGTAAATCTCAATGATACAAAATAATCACCAATAAATATACTCGAGGTTGGCAGAAATCCTTCATAAACAGCTAGGCTGACATGGAAGTGTGTCTCTGAGCTTTCATAGCCCTGTACAATGCTGCTTGATTCTGGGTCTACAAGGCAGCATTGTAAAGAGGCTCAAAGCTCAGAGTAAACAATCTGTGCGTGATGTCTACTGAGGGTACATAAAAACCACTGGCTGTCTCTCAAAATCTAGCGAGCAAGAGCAGCATTTTTTGACACCATTTGTATGAGCATCATAAAATGGCTCATAATGTGGATATGATGCCCCTAATGCTGTCTAGGTAGACAGCTCGTTAGGTATTCCAGACACAGCCAGTGACACATTAAGGTTAGCCGAATGACAATACTGAAAGGTAAAATAACAGACACATAGCGTGATGTTTTCATTCATTCTTTCATTATTACTGAATTAAAGGAGGACCTGGCAATCAAGACAAGACCGATAGCGCCCCCTATTGTTGTGTTTGCTACAACAAACATCAATAACAATAGGCATATTCACACGAATATCTATCAAATAGACAGTCGATAAACAATTCAAAAGATACAAGCGTGCGAAAACGGGATATATAACAGTTAAACTCAAACTGAATATAATATTCAGGTATTTTAAATAGCCTAACATATTCAAAACACAAACACAAATATATCGCGTATCTGTTATACAAATAAAAAGCTAATTTAACATTGGGCGCCATGTACGAAATCGCCTCATTTCAAAAGAACCTCCGCAGAATCAGTGATTTATTTTGATATGATATATAAGCATGTCAACGACAATATTTTTTCTACGATTTGTCGAGTAAACATCCATTTGATCACAAGAAAAAAAAAAACACTATACCTTCACAGACGTGATTTTACCCTCATCCGATGTTCAGCCGCAGTGTCTCTACCTTTTTCTTCATGATCACCATCACAGATGCGCCGCACGTTTAACATGTCCATGGCTGTGTCTCACTGCCTTGTGTGCAGCTTCCTACATAGAAAGCAGTTTTGGAACCTGAGGGTGCAATCGAGACAAATGTTCACAGTGCTCTCGCAAATGTTGTCTAGGTAGGCTGCTCAATAAAAATTTGACACACAGCCTATGTACAACCTCTCTGCTGCTTAGATGCATCATGTACACTGCAAACTGAAAACAAGGTTGCCTATCTGATGCTACATTTGAGGTGTGGAAATCAGTATGGCTCCATTATTTTTAGAAACGGCTTTGTAATTGAAGGTTACAGTGCCAATGTTATTTCAATCAACATATAAGACAGGAATATTGATAAGTCTGCTGGCCAATGACGTGTTTTTGAAGAGAAATGTTAAATTACAGCCTACATAAAGAACAGATTTTTAATCTATATATAAATATATATTTTAAAATGTAATTAATTCTGTGAAGGAAAATCCAAAACAAACAATTATTTGAAACCAAATCTTTTTAAACACTATGCATTTAATGTAATTTTGATCAATTCATTGCATCCTTTCTTAAGTGTTAAATCTTTTCATAAAAAGAAATCTTACCCCAAACTGGTGCACATTAGTGCAGATTCATAAAAAGGACAGCTATTCAGTGGTTTAATAAATTAACTGCAATTTATTAATCAATTTTCTTCAGTAGCTCCAAACAGCTCAAAGATCCAATCAAATAGCACAATCAAATAAACATATTTAAAAAATATATATAGTCTTACAGCCTTTTCCAAACACAATTGTGAACTTTCTAACCTTGAAGGTGTTCATCCAACCTGCATTAGATGACTGTTCCCTAAGGGGAGCTGAGAAAGTTTCAAAGCTCTGATGTCTGATCACGTTACAATGTTTAAAACCCCCAAGGTTAGACTTAAACTACTTGAAATAACTACCACAAAATGTATTGTTTGCATGTGTAATGAAGGTATTTCAATGGGCTGAATGCTTCTTTTTCATATATTAAAACCATTGTATTTTCACAGTCAAGAATTATTTCGAATGGAAGAAAATATGGCCCATAGTGTTCACAAACTAGGTGACAAATCAACAATGCACACCCAGAATGTATTTTAGTGGCTTTAAAAACATGGATCGGTCTTTGCTGATCTTCTACAATGGTTTTCTTCATTCATTCACACAGAAATAGAGCGTAAACAATGTCCCAAAAGCAGCATAAGGACATCAGTACTGTTAGCATAGGAAGGATGTGAAGATCAGAGCAGTCTTCATCAGGTGGGCTAAAGATCCCTATTTGGTTCTATAGTTCTGTCATTACTGATAAATATATCAATATAGTTTAGAATACACATTTGTTTTTAAATCTGTTATTAGTACAATTTAAATCAGAAATTACAAAATAATCTAAAGTTTTTGAAACTATTTAAACTGTTTTTTTCCTCTTTAGTAGATTAAAATTACTGTTTATCCTTTTTGTAACTTACTCGCATTCAACACATTATCTCTTTCATTCAATGATAATGGCATTGCTTGAACATGCCATCATCTCTGGGAATCCAGAAAGCAATAGAGTAATAGAATAGACAATTTACCCTTTATGTGAACTATTTATAGAGATATCCTTTTCACTAATAGTTTGGTGTTATGCGAGATCTCTGGTGTTTATGCTGCTTCGTTAGCAAAGTGTAAAATGAAACAAGACAATGGTCCTTTTATAATCATGAACATGTTTTTAAGGTTTTGGTAGTACAAACTACCATCTAGACCTATTATCCAATGACTGGCCATGTCTCCATGTGTTGCTATTTTAACAAGCAACAAACCATGTACAGGTTAGTGCTTTGTTGATGTGGGATAGGTTTAACATAAGAGCTCAGCTGCTATTTGGGAGAGAACGGGACGGGAGGTTGCTTGAGATTAGATTGGTTCTCCTTCCACTTCATCCTGATCCCCATATCATGGCATTATAAAATCTCCAGATCCACATGCCGCACCTCAGGATTACGTTGCTGTTGAAGATACAGAGCAGGAGTCAGTCGAGGAAAAATAAAGACAAAAAAGTAATAACTTGTCCTAAAAGACATTCGATCCATCACATACACTACTTTCCAAAAGTCTGACATCAGTAATATATATATTTTTGAAAGAAATTAATACTTTTGTTCAGCAATGATCCATTAAATTAATCAAAAGTGACCGTAAAGACATTTATATAGTTACAAAAATGCTCCTTTTTTTCAACTAAATGTTGTTCTTTTGAACTTTTCTATTCTTCAAAGAATCCTATAAAAAGTATACATCGTGGTTTCCACTACAATATTAAGCTGTTTTCAGTTTTGATAACAATAAAGAAATTAGAATGATTTCTAAAGGATCATGTGACTCTGAAGACTGGATTGATGATGCTGAAAATTCAAATTAAAGAATAATTAAAACAGTCATTGTTATGAACATAAACATAAATTGCAATAATATTTCCCAATATTACTGTTTTTTACTGTATTATTGAACAAAAAATACCGTATAAGTTACTTCTTTTAAAAACATTAAAAAAAAACTTTTGAATGGAAGTGTATGGTTTAGAAATACATCTCCTTTTTGTTAATTATAACAATATCCGAACAAATTATAAATGCATTCATAAGCAAAAAGAAAGATCACAAATTCCAAATACATCCATTGTCTGCCAAGACATCATCAATGTAAAAAGGTGTTTCTGTGAAACATCAAATCAGATGTTTCTATTCCAAAATGAAACGTTGATGTATTTGAACAGCTGAAGTGGTTTGCTTTATGTGTTGCTGGAACAATGCTGCACCATGAGTGTGGCATCTGCTGAATTTATTCTAACAGCTAACCATACATCATGCTTGTCTGATGAGAGTTATGGTGGTCACCATTTCTGAAAGAGAGTCGGGATGGAGATACAGAGATTTTGAACAATAGTCTCATCAGATACCTTAAGTTCTTTCTCCAGACGGTCCACCTCTGCTCCTAAGGTGTCAATGATGTTCTCCCCGTGCTTCAGCATAAAGTTCTCCAGCTCCTCTGGTGTCTTCACCTGTTGAATTTCCTGCAGGCCAAAAACACACATTTCTAAGCACATATGATTGTACAATTGATTTGCAGAGGTCACAAAAATAGTTTAGCAAAAAACTACCATTAATTGTTAAAACTGCTGTTACTGTAGCTTCTACGCAACCATAGATAGACCTCAAACAAACACTACAGTCATGTCAGATGATCTGCATCAGATCAGAAGCCTTGTCTCTCAGCACGTACGTTCAGGATCTGTTCAATGTCTTGCTTCTCCAGGTATGAGCGCGTCACCACCCGCCCATCAAAGTCCACCTCTGCCTTGAAGCGCACTTTGCTCAGCCCCATATCTGTGGCTTTGACATCATGAATTGCCCTGGAGACAAAATGACCTGCAGTGAGGACATCAAATCTAATTCCATCAAAGCAAGAACGTACACTGATGTAAATCTGAACAAGCAAGCTTATATTTGAGAATGTCATGCTTTGAAGCAGGTTGCTTCTGCGTTAAAGTCCTTTTTTAATGGAATAATGCAGTGTTCATTCATTATAAATTATTTATTTGTCCGAATATTTTTTTTTAATTCATGTTGTAATCTTTAATCAAAATAACTTGATTAAGCGAAATCCCTTTTCTTCTGACGACGTGTTTCCTGACACAAAAGCAGGACCTGTCACTCACATGACTTCATTAGCAAACCACAACCGATGGACAAGATCAAGTCCCGGCATTTTTTTTTTTCATGTTTGAAAAGCCGTTTCATGCAAATAAACGTCACAATGGTGAACAATAGACTATTGCATCTTCCATTTCATGCCGAATTAAAGTACTGTTATGACCTGTAAGATGGCAGCTTGTTTGCTGATTAAGCTTTTCTTCAGCAGACTGCAGGTACACACAGAGGACTGACCTGACAACAGGGTCGTTTTCCAATAACTCGGTGAGCTTCTGCACATGCTCAGCCTTGATGGAGCGGCCCAACAGAGCCTCAGTGTTAGTGTAAATGAGGAACGCAGACACTGTTCCTAACAAGGTGCCCACACCCAGAGAACCAAGACTGTCATAGTAGGGGCTACCTATGTAGAGGTAGAAAGAGAGAGAGAGGATCAATGCAGGTAATAATGAAACAGTGGCAATTATTGACATGAGCTGCATTGTCTGCAAGTCATGTACTATCCGTCTGAAAATAGAATGTGAGAGACTAGTATTTGTAAAACCCAAAGTTGCTGATGATATACTGTCAAAGTAATATAGAATCTACTATGAATAAGATATATTACCTCACAGACCATTGCATTATGGAACAGTTGGAATTTGTTTAAACATTTTTAAACTGTGTATACAGTAAGCTGCAATGGCAACAGCAGATTTTTAAAATTATGAACTATAATGTATCGTACGACTTTCTCAAAATTATGCATCATCAACAGCAAAGTAAATTCTTTAGTACGCAGAAGTACACTACCATTCAAAAGTTTGGGGTCAGTACGATTTTTTTTGTTTGTTTTATTTGAAAGAAACTGATACCAGAGCCAGTCTATTAGACATTCTCTGCTGATACTTTTACTCAGCAAGGACCAAAAGTGACAGTAATGTTACAAAATATATTTTTTTTATAAAATAAATGCTGGTCTTTTGAACTTTCTATTCATCCAAAAATTCTTGGGGGGAGACAGTACAATGGTTTAATTTTCAAATGTTTTTTTGAGCATCCTGGCTGTAAAAAAATCAGCTAAGCATCACAGGAATGAATTACATTTATGACATATCTGAATTTAACAGCATTTACTGTATTTTTTGATCAAATAAATATTGATTCGACATTCATAAGACTCTTATGATCTCAAACCTTGAACTAATGTGAAATGGGATGCAATAGTCTTTAACAGCAAAATAGAGACCTCTAGTGGTAGAAACGAAAGTGCCATTTAAAAAAAACTCTGCTATGTAAATAACACTGCTAGTTTCATGGTTGATTAAACTTCAATAACATACTGTAGTAAAGCACCAGATAATAAAATGAGCTGAACTTGCCATCAGGGCTGTTCTCAAGCATGAAAGGAAGTTTACTGAGTAGAGTATTTTCCAGATCTTTACACAAATTTCCCACAAAGAGCCATGACAACCACAGGGCAAGAGGAACCAGCTTCTGGGCAGCCGTAGATGTTGACTTTGTGAGAGTGCGAGTAGTGCGTATAGAGAGGTGGATTTACAAAGCTTAAAAAGAGCATCAACTGCTCTTACAAGGTTATAAAGCTCAATCCCATAGGCTTATTAAACTTGACCCTGTGGTCGAGACAATAGAAAAAGGGAAGAATGACAGTTGGCATGAAACAGGGAGGTCTGGTACAATGACGCTTACTTTCCTGAATTCAAAAGTCATGTATTATTAGTACATGTATTGAGTTTATTTTCACCTGTAAGAGACGTGAGTCCCATACATCCAGCTGCCAGCATCACTCCGAGCACAGCGGCAGCGTCCTCCAACAGGACCACGTTAGTGCTGGGGTCTCGACTTTGCATCACTGTTGTCCACAAACAAACAAAAACTATCAAAACTGATCATCTCCAAACTGTGTCAAAGCTATAATAGTCAACGAAAGGTACATACCGTACTCATAAAAGGACAAGCTTTGTATACGTGCACTCTTCTTGATCTCATTAATGGCCACTAATAGTGTAGCTTTATGGGAAATCAGCAGATAGATGATATTAGTGACAGTCAAACCTTTGAGAAAGCTAATAAAAACATGACAGAAGACACCACATCTCACCTCCTTCAGACACCAGAGATCCTGCTAAAATACAGTATGCCTACAAAAGAAACAAAATATTTGACAAACAGCTATATACCCTACTGTTCAAGAGTTTGAGGTCAATAAGATTTTTTTAAATTGCATTTTAATTCAGCAAGGACACATTAAAATTGATCAATTAAAAACATTTATAATGTTACAAAAGAGTTCAATTTAAATAAATGAATGTTGTTCTTTTTGACTTGCTATTCTCATCAAAGAAACCTAAAATTAATGTTTCAGGGTTTCCACAAAAATAATAGATAGTATATTAAAAGTAGATTTTTCCAAATAATAAAACATATATATTACTGATTTCACTGTTTTTGATCAAATAAATGCACATCTACAAGTTCTAACCGGACTCTACTAACCCAGAGCAGCGATTCAATTGGCTGAGGGTGCAGGAGTCCCATAATGCCGTGATACCAGGACAAGCCAGCCCCCATCATGAAGATGCCCACTCCACTGATGAGAGAGGCGATGTAACGCATGTTGGAGAAGCCGTACCTTTATAAAGAAAGGAATGTAGGCTTGGACATCAACAGTGGATATGGAGGTCAACATGGAGGGATCAGACTGCTTAAGTTATACATACGGATGGATGGCATCTGGGTTACGGACAGATTGACTGATGCCTATTGCAAGAAGAGCCTGTGAGAGATTTAAGAGTTAAAGAAATTCATTAAAAGAAGAAACATGTTATATGTCTTTCATTTATTTTTAAATAATCCTTTGTAGCAATGTCATAGAGGTCAAAGGTGATAAGACGAACATGAATTCCACCTCACCTGATTGCAGGTATCAGCCAGCGAGTGGATGGCTTCAGAAAACATACTGGCAGAACCTGTATAAACCCATGCCAACAGCTTGAAGAAAAAATTCAGTCCATTTCTGCAGATTACAAAAGTGAAATTAGACATTTAGATCTCCACTCAAAAGTTTATTCATGCATTAAACTGATCTAAAGTGACAAGACTTGTACATTATTACAAAAATGTTCTAATTCAAATAAACACTGATCTTTCAAACTTTTCATTCCTCAAAGAATTGTGAAAATTTTGTCAGTTTCCACAAAAAAATATTAAGCAGAACAACTGTATTCAACATTGATAATAATAAATAATTCTTGAGTAGAAAATCAGCATTATAATGATTTCTGAAGGATCATGTGACCCTGATAGCACACGTACATGATGTGTGTGTTTACATCTGGAAGATATATTTTTTAGAGTGTTTGCTCATCTGCAATACGTCCATAGGACGTTTCCTGTCAGATGTCAAATATACGTTTAGAAGATGTCTTTAAGATGTAATGATTTATAATGAAGAAATGATTTGTAATGAAGTGATCTTTAACAGACATCTTGCATACTTATGTGTGCTATCTGGGGAGTAATGATGTTGAAAATTATGTTATATCATCACAGGAATAAATTACAACTTAAATATATTAAAGTCAAAAACAGTTCTTCACAATATTATTTTTTTTCTGTATTTTTGATCCCACTGTCACATCATCTTTCCTTTCAGTGAGACTTTTTAATAATTTGGGGGAATTGAGGATACTAATTGCTGCAGTAGATCAGAAATCATAAAAACATTAAATGACATTTTGAACGGTGGTGTACAGATTACAAAGTTCACAGAAAACACTAAAATGGCTTCCACAAGCAACACATAATTTGTCTAGACACGTATCTGGTTGTTTGAAAGACAACACAGAGTGTGTTAAACATCATGTGAGAGCACATGCCATGTAATTCAATATTCTTAATCTAATATATATTGAGCATTGGATTGGCTTCTCCTTTCTTTCATGCATAGAACTCCTTCATTTTCTGGTTCTAGGTGGATGGCCCTGATATTGATGGCGGTGTAACACAAACTTAAGCTTACATGCATATAGCTACCATCACCACTTTTCCAGGCCCTTCAAGAAATGTTGCTCTCTTCCTAGACCGAGGCTAAAGGAGACACACAATATCAAAAACATAGTTAGCTGAAAGCACAATGTACACACATCATATTCACTGCTTGCCTTTGAGATTAAATAAAAGCAGCATGACCATACAAGACAAATATGAAAAGGACCAAGAAAGGGACAGAAGATTACGAATATCACGAAGCATGAGGACAGAGGAAATAGTAACAAAACATAAAAAATTAGTGAGAGGTTTGACCTTATTCTTACCTTTGTGTTTCCCCAGAAGTCTTTGTATTCCTTCAACAGCTGCTGATTTCTAAATGTGTCTTGAATGATAAAGATAAGTACAAATGGTTATTAAGTCAACAGACGACATGAAAACAGCAGAATGCAAATCATGTAGTGAGAGATGAGAGAATGACATACTTTCTTGGTACTCTTTTTCCACTTCTTTCCTGAGATTCCTCTCTCGAGTGAGTGCCTCTTGACTTCCCCATACATCCAGCGCCCTAAAAGAGAAGACCAAAAATATGTGTATTGACCTCTCTACGAATGATTTTTAGATACTTACACCTGATGCCCAATACATACAAATTACCATTTAATTAATCATATAAAAAAGTTTGGGGTCAGTACGACAATTGATTGTTTTTACAGAAGTCTCTTATGCTCATCACGGATGCAATTATTTGATCAAAATACAGTAAAAACAGTAATATTGTGAAATCGAATTTTTTTTTTTTCTATTTTACTATCTATATTAAAATGTAATTTGTTTCTGTTATGGCAAAACTGAATTTTCAGCATCATTACTCCAGTCTTCAATGTCGCATGATCCTTCAAAAATCATTCTAATATGCTAATGTGGTGCTCAACATTAGCATCAACACTGAAAAACAGTTGTATTGCTGAATATTTTTGTGGAAACCGTGAAATGTATTTTTATTTGAAATAGAATCCCATAGTCTTTGCTGAATAAAAGTATGAATTACTTCAAAAAAATCTTACAGACCCCAAACTTTTGAATGGTAGTGTAAGATAGTTGTACAAACTTTGCCTCCACATCTGATCGCAGGAAGACGGTGAATGCTTCTGTATCATCATGGGGACTACGTCGTCGGATTTTCCTAAGCTGCTCAAGGTCACTTTGAACACACGCAAAAAAGCATAGACTCCCATGTAAACATGGTGGAAGGACAGCAAACTGCAAACTACAAAAGTTCCACTTGATAAAGGTACCTGGGTTTGAGGCAGAACTCGTTCATAGCTCTAACCGCAGTGATGAAATTATTCTGGGTGTATTTGATGCCATATTCCCTTTTTTTCAGGACAGCCCGTACTAAAAACACAAGAAACATAGAGTGATAGTTGAAATAAATAGAATAATGATATACTTTCTTATTGGATTTTCTGAAAGTAAAACAATACATAACTACCTTTCACTTGAATGCTCTCCGCTTTCGTCAGACCTTGAGGTTTGGAATCTCAAATGTAAAAAAACAACAAAAAAACAAATGAATAAAAACAGTTATAATAAATCATAATTACCACACATATATTATATTCCCTTACCAGAGCTAACTTTAGCACCTAAAAAGGGCAAAGACAATACCAGTATAAATTAGCAGAGGTCCAAAAAAAAAAAAATAAATAAAAAAAAAAAATATATATATATATATATATAAATATATATATATATATATATATATTAACACTTTTTTTTTAATAAAAACATGATTTACATGTACTCAAAGTGCATTAAAATGTAAGAAAACAAATATTCTATAAGTATAAATTAGCTAATTTTAGACACCATTCAAATGCATTTGAAGAAACATTAGATGATGCGGAATCACTATCAGTTTATTACCAGCTACTTTTGAAGAGGGCTGTGCAGCTTGTGCTTTCTCAGTGGGTTTTGGCTCTACAGGGCCTGCTGGAGATCCGTCTTTACCACCGCTTGATGTGGAACAGTTCTGGACCTGTGTCCATGTTAAGGAAGTGACTCTGGAATCGGGAAAGCTAAACCAGAGTTTGTGCACCCGTCCTCCAGTTTGCCAACCTATTGAGAATCACAGTTGTGTAATCAGAATCATCTAAACTCTAGTCTAGGATTATTGCATCTAATCGAATCCAATGTTGAATGAGAAGATATGAAACCAAGAATGAAAAAATAAACGCAAGTCACAACACTTTACTTACCAAAACATGGCTTAGCTATTTTGAAGGGTCTCTGAGACAGAGGGGCTCGTTGTTGCAGATAGACCCGGCAGAGGACTTTCCATGGTCTATGGGCCAGGCAGGGGAACATCCTGTCTGTGGCAAATCCTGAAGATGCACACACTGAATCCTGCTGGACATTTACATTATATGATGTTAGTAAATTAATGGCCCTGAATGCATGTACAACAATGAAGCATATCAATGGTTAAAAAAAGGAGTGTGCACTGGTCTTAAAACATTAGATTAAGCCAATTAGAGCAACATGATCATCATGTGTACAACCACATGACATTTGTCAGATCTCTATGAACAAAATGCAACACTGGATAAAAAACACATCACTGGATATTAAAATAACTTGCTGAAATGAATCAATGAATTTATCTATATCTATCTATCGACACTAACTCGGCTAATTAGCTAAATGTGACAGAGGGATGCAAGAGAACAGTTACACAAATACCCTTTCAATTCAGTAAAAATTTAGGGCGGTATTTAAACCCAGTTCTGACAGTATAAACACTAACATGCTTTATTAGATCAGCATAAGCTTAGAATTAACCCCCAATGATATCAGTAAATTACCCGGCTAGATATCCCCCGTCCGTGAGTCAAGCAGCAGATGTCTAAACGTGCGACTACTTTAATATCTATCAGATTAAGTGAAGACTGCCGCTCAGTAAACAACACACACTGCTAACTGAATCTGACTGCAGCCGGTGTCAGTTAGCCCAGAGCCATATAGAGATAGCCTAGCCTGACAGCTACAGCTTAGCAAGATGCTACAGTAGTATTTACATATATGTTACACACAGAAGCGGACATAAATTACACTTCGTTAAGCATGCTTTACCTTTATAAAGCTCAGTCCATTATGTGTTTGTGGTGTTCGGTTAACTCAACACAGTCCATAACGAAAAGCAACAGTACAACACTGAATTCAGTGAAGACGGAGAGCTCGCGAGATCCTGAGTGATTGGACGAGAGCGCGTTATTTCCACTGTGTCTGCAGACTAGCAGAACGGTCTACTAGTGGAGGAGCTCATTGCTTGAGCATAGATACAGTCGGCAACGCGTCATAGTTGGGGGGCGTGGTCGGTGTGGGGGAAAGCAGCGCGACCATCCTATGTATTTGAATGACAAAAATGTCATATTGCGAGTCATTTATGCCTGCCGACCGGCAACGGTACATTGCAAAATTAACTGTAATAGGTTATGATTGCCCTTATTTAATTAAAAACTGGGTCAATGACCCAACCAAATGGCCGGAGGTGTCGTTTCCAGACTATTATATCTGGTTGAATCTTCAGGTAAGACATCGCGGAAGCTACCGGCAACACAAGCCTGTAACTCAATCAACTTGCGTATTTTTACTATAAGTCCATAAAACCATGTCACTTACCAATTGTACGTATGCTTCACTCCAAACTATTAATCCTTTTGTAAAACGGTGATCATTAGTAGTCGCTACGAAGTTGCAGAGGGACTTTGCTGACAGTTATCCGAATTCTCACAGACTGCAGTCTGATAACCTTCAGCTGATAACGCTAATAACATCCCTTATGAAAAACAACTAAAGGAATCTTGTAGTATTTTAGGACAAAATATTATAGTAACGTTAATCCTATAGGAATACTATAGTATTTTGGGACATAGCCTAGAAGTATAGGTATTAATGAACATCACAGAAGTATTATACACTACTATAGAATACTAATAGCCATAGGATTACTATAGTTCTTTTTCGTAAGGGATGTAAGGTCAGACAAATCTGGCCCACTGCCTAATACGAGTTAAACATCTACTACTATATCACACGGACCTCTACTCACACAGTAATCTAATAAGATATGATTAATTTTGCCATCTTATCCTCCTATCCGGTTCTGTATGTATGTAAGAAAGGCTGTAGAACTTCAATTTATAATTTGTTTGTTTATTGGTGGTACAGAAAACGACACCGCAACTCTTCGGCATGATTGTCCCATGTATTTCAATAGCCGCGTTTCCACTGCCGGGCCAGGGCCGGGCCGTGCTAGTGCGTGCCAGGGCCAGTCGCGTTTCCACTGTCACTTCCGGGGCTTGATCGGGGCTTCCTCAGGGCCAACGGCCAGGATTTCTGGCCCGTCGAATACCTTGGGCCAGAGGGGGCCAGCTCGGGCTAGAGGCGAGTTCAAGGTAAAAGGCGGAGTTTATCGGTGTTATAGAAGGTTATCTGAAGCAAGATGCACAGGGGTGTCCATGTTTAACCGATTAACCGTTTAAAATTGCATAACATTTTAATTTGAACTGTAGGCCTATGCCAAAATCTGCGCAAAAATATATAGGCTACATATCGACGAATTTTCAGATATTTGTTTGATTTTTTTGCCCCTTAAACATTTAAAATATTTGACAAATTAATATGAAAAAAATATATATTTTACTGGTTTTCTGAGGCCAAATTAGAACCTGGAAATGATATTTTCCCCGCAGTGCTGAATGAGAAGAGCCGTAACCACAGCCTACAGAAAGGGGATTTATGGGTGATTTATAGGCTATAATAAATGTGTCTGATAATAAAATAATATAAAATAACGAGGCATTAATTGTTTATTAATAAACTATTGTTTTCTAAATGATTTTCGGCAAAAAACATATCTCCATCTCCGGATGCACATTTAGAGAGAAATTAAGCTACATAAACATAGAAGATATTGGCTTTCGATTCGAATTTGTTCGTTTTAAATTGGACATTTAAAGCTTTAATCTACAAAGGATATAACCCCTGTAGACTAAAGCTTTAAATGTCCAATTTAAAACGAACAAATTCGAATGCGGTGGCTGTTTCAGGTCTCGCGCTTCAGTTCACGGAGATCATGAAGCGCGCCTTGATTAATTGTTAAAGCACAACGTTTTCTTGTTATAAATAAATTTATTTGCGAATAATGTATTATTATTTTCTGTATGACCAGAAATTAAAGAGTATTTTAAGTTGTTTCCACTGAAAGAAATGCAATGAAATCACATGGGCGTCTCGCAGCCATCAGTGCGTGCTCCACACACACTGGATGATATTTGTCAAAAATATTGTGTTTATTTGTGCTCTGTTCCTTTTTTGGATAAAGACGTCTTTACATAGGCTATGCAGCCTAATAAAATGTTACAATAATGATGATGATGGTTATTATTATTATTTGCAGACACTAACTCAAGAGTTTTTGTGAAATGGACGTTGTGCTTATTTTCAATTGGCAATTTCAGTTTGAAGGGTGATAGAAATGCGGCTCTAACTGCTCCGTACTTGCTGCATTTTATTTCTATAAATTAATTTCGTTTCAAATGGGGTCCAATCAGTTATTAAAGGTGTTAAAAATTTACTCTGTATCTCGAGGTTGCGGCGCACACACTATGCACCGAGTATTAACCGATGGGCCTCGGTTAACGATTAATGAATAACTTGAAAACGTGCCCGCAGCCCTACTTGTTATATCGCGCAAAAAATCGCTGCTTGAAATGGAGAATCGCCTGTACTGGTCTCGGGACACTATTGAAGCCACTACGGCAGTTGAGTTAATATACATGCTATCTTCCTAATTTAAAAAATAAATTAATTCATAATACCCGCTGAAATGGGTTGGGTTTTGTGACGTTTGATCCTGAAAGGCGTGTTAGGGGTGGGGTCTGGGGCAGCGCTGTGGGGCTACTGGCCCGGCAGTGGAAACGCAAGCCCGGTGCTTGAGGCCCGAGGCCACTAGCTCGGCCCGGCTCGCTGTTAGCTCTGGCCCAGCCCTAGCCCGGCAGTGGAAACGCGGCTAATGAGCGCCAAGGCAATGTTTTCCCCCACGAGCTAAATTCACACCACGTGACGGGGCGTTCCCGGGGGCGTTCCCAGACCAACCGACTGTATCTATGGCTGTCAAGAAATTCAAACCAATTTTATATTTTTATGGTTTCAAAATTGGTAAAGTTCTATTCAAATATTAAGCAGCACAACTATTTCAAACAATAATAACTGAATATCAAATCATATTAGAAGGATTTCTGAAGGATCATGCGACACTGAGGACTGGAGTAATGGCTGATGACGATTCAGCTTTGCATCACAAAAAATACACTATATTTTTAAAGTATATTCAAACAGAAGAACAATATTTTTTTAAATATTTTACAATACAACAGTTTTGTTCCTGTATTTTTTATCAAATAAATGCAGATTTGATGAGCATAAGCCTTATTTTAAAAACATTAAAAATAGCAATGTTTCCAAACTTTTGATAGTTTGGGATGGTAGAATTTTTATTCGTAATGTTTTTAAAATAATTTTCTTATGCTCACGGTAAAATTAAGTTGACAATTGACTTGCCAATTCCATAGATTTTTTCTACAATTGCATGAAGTCACATTAATTTACTTAGTAATTAATTTTAAGGTAACTGGTTCTCACTTTTTTTAAAGTTAAGTCAACGTTTACAGTGTATATATATATATAATCCTAGATATACTAAATTTAACATAAAATTAACAAGCATTTAGGATATATTTGTTAAAAACAGTTGACGCGTTTAATGTAGCCTAAAAATTAACAAATAAAATACAATTAAATTACAAATTACATTAAACACTTGTATCTTAAACATAGTGGTATAGGATATACAAAGTTTTTAAAATTCTTTCAACATGTTTTCGAAGATGTGAACAAAGCAACTGTTTTTTTGTCAGTCCCAATCAGAAAAGTTTTCAAGCTCTTGAAGCCACTGCTTCTCCACCTTTACAAATGGAGATAACAAAACAATTAGGATATGCACAGTATACACATCTTTTGTGATTGAGTTCTGGGCTAACTATCAGATTGAAAGCATCATGCAGTATTTACAATAATTATCCACCTGTTCATTATTTAGTTTAGCCAGGCTCAGCGCTGAGGGTATGTCTGTGATCATTCCAGTTAGCTGACTTTGTGGATGCTGTATATGGGACAGGGGACTTCTCTGGATGTTTTCTGCTTCAAAGACACTGTTCATGAAGGCGTCTGAATTCTCAGAGAACGGCTCTGAGCATTCCCTCTTGTTAGGGATAAAGCTGAAGGACTCATGGTCACAGTAAACCCTCTTAGAAGGCAGTTCTGATGGATTTTCAAATGCTGAAGAAAAAAAATTAAATAAAATGAATCAACCAAATATCATCTCGACCAACTCTATTAATTATTTCTGTGGTGCTTTAAAACTCATGAATGAAAACATACCTTCCTCCCAGCTGTCAAGACCACTTTGTTCAGGGCCAACAGCCGCCACCACCTTCTGATGAGTTTAAAATCACAAACATTCATAAAGGCGGCAAAGTCAAGAATGCAGAAATGAAATAGTTTAAAACAAGGTTTGCAAAAGCACCATTCCATTGTTACACATGCGCTTTTCAGCAAAGAGCCCCTCCACAATGCTTTGAAGCGACTGTTGTAGAGATACACGTAGCTCGCAGGAGCTCTTGACCTAAAACAAACCCAGTTCAAAACATTTTAAACAACTTTAACAAACAATAAAGCACTGTTCTTGAGAATAAGAAGTGAAATGACACATAAAATAGGGTGTTTTGGGAACCGGTATAAGCTATTGTCATTATACCCGCATGCTATCAAAACAGGCTCTTCGAAACTCTTCACTGCTGCTGCTGGCAATTATACTGTTCACTGAGCTCAGGACAATGGATTTGGCAGAATCCAACCTCTGCCTGGCCTGAAGTACACACAGAAATATGTATGGATCAGTCGTGTTTAAAAAATCACTAAAGTGTCACAATTTTTCCATGTATAACACTATTCAAAAGTTTACAGTCAGTGAGATTTTTGTTATGTTTTTGAAAGTCTCTTATACTCACCAAGGCTGCATGCTTTTGAAGAAAAACAGTAAAAACTGTAATATTGTGAAAAATGATTACAATTTAAAAACTGTTTCCTGGTTTAATATATTTTAAAATGTAATTTATTCCTGTGATGGCAAAGTTGAATTTTCAGGAGTGATTACAATAGTCTTCACTTCACTCACTTTCAGAAAATATTCCAATATACTGTTTTGGTGATCACATTTCTTGTTAATATCAATGTTGAAAACAGTTGTGCTGCTTATTATTTTGTGAAAACCGTGATATTTTTTTTTTTCAATTTGATCAACATTTCAGCCTTTATATGAAACAGAAATAATGTTGTAACATTATAAACGTCTTTCAAAATCGCACCAATTATGGAATTTTGGAAATTATCTTTCATGTAGCGTGTAACAGATCTAAGTGAACAAGCACATCCTGCGCATTTTCATATATGAAAGTTCACTGTAAAAAAATTATCAGACTTGTTCGACTTCATGCAGCTCTGTGCAGACCGATCGGTGCCTGACTTGAAGCAGTGCATGCCGGTTAGAAATATTGTCTGACTTGATGCAGCGCTGACTCCACATGACTGTGACGTATGCTATCAAAGTACCGCGAGAGCGATTCGAGAGTAGCCGGAGAACTCAGCCAGCGCAGCTTCTCAAGAGCGGCTGCATCAGTTCTTTCGAAAAATATATATTTAAATTACTGACCTAAACTTTTGAACTGTAGTGTACGTAAACTCCATGCAGACAAATCTTACTGTGCGTCTCCGCTGGAATCCTTTCAGCGTTTTTTTCATGGTAGACTGTAGAGTCGCCCTCACTTGATCTCTGTTGTACCAAAGAACTGCATCCAATTCTCCTTCGAAAACCTCCTCACTGACTGACATATTTAAAAGCAGAACTTCAGCAGAAAATATTAAAACCTTAAGATGTCTGCATGACTGGCCAAGCAAATGAAACACACTTATAAAGTCAGTGATCTGGGAGTGGAAGGGGTCAGTGTACTGAGTGAAAATGAAGACAGTCAGAGTCTGTTCTACAGCACCGCTCAATTCTGGCTCAATGTTCTGCTTTATAGCATTACTACATCTTGTTTCCTCACTGCAGTCAGTTTCAACAGAGAATTCGACATCAGAACACAAACAGCCTATAAAAGGGAAAAGCCAGAATTAAATATTATATACACGTTGGATAGCCATCTGAACAAATTTAGCCTCAAAGCCAATGGTGATTTGTAGCACAGTGCCCTTTATGCTTTGCAGCAAGGCTGCCATCCATAAAATTACAGCGTAGAGATCAAATTGGCTCTCAGTTTCCCCATTTAACCCTGTCATTTACCCTGGATGTTTTGTGCTTCCATGCAACAGACTTTAGAAAGGCCGAGATCTGCCCAGGAGAGTGAAGCAGCCAAACTCTGGAGGAAACTCATCTGTGTCTGTTGCATTAGAGGCATCCCACATGGAATGTACACTAGCATGTGTGATGAATGTTAAGGAAAATATCTATTTTGTTCATCAATATGAATAATTCATCAGAATCACAATATATATATTTTTTTTTTTACCAAAAAAAGACCAAGCATATTTGTAAGGCAAGCAGCCTAAAATGATATGCATGCTCTTAAATAACAGTAACGATTATTATGTGACCATCACGAAGGATATCCGTATGCATGAGAGCTGAGTGGGCCAGTTGGAATACTGCACCATACAGGGTGCAAGTGTTGCCATGGTAACCATGCGCAGTTCTCCACACAGTCCAGCCTCTAGTATGTCAGAAGGGAGCACACAACTCAGTGTGTCTCCTAATACTGGGTGCATTTGTGGACAGGATGGAAAACACCGCACAGAGAATGGACTCCTTCATAATAAAATTACAGAAGCAAAGTGTGAAGAGAAAAAATGCAAGTAAAGACAGATTTTCAAGGTGTTAAAACAGAATAGCCAATCAGGTGTGTTGATTCTGCTTGACACCAAGTTGTTCTGTTCAATACAAAATTCACAACTGACTGTCCGTATGCGGCAGCGTCCATTTGAATGCTGTGATCCATCACTGAAACTTTACTTCCTTTCTGTCCACTATAAAAAAACAAAACAAATAAAGATTATTATAAAAAAAATAATAATAATAATGAGAAGGTTTATATGAGTAGACCTGTAGGACATCAATGAGTAAAAGCAACAAAAACATAAAAATAAGCTATTATTTTATTAGCTTTATTATTATTATTTGGGGTCTGTAAAATTTGATTGGTTTTGAAAAGTCTCTTATTTGGCTGGATCACAATGACAGCTAACAGTAATATTGTGTAAAAGTTAAAAGAACCATTTCTACAATATATATTTTAAAATGTAATTTATTTATGTGATGGCAAAGCTGATTTTTCAGCATCATTACTCAAATGATCAGTGTCAAATGAAATCATTCTAATAAGCTGATTCGATGCTCAAGAAACATTTATTATCATTATCAATGTTGAAGATGCTTGTGCTGCTTAATATTTCTGTGGAAACCATTATACATTTTAAAGGATTTTAAGAGAATAGAAAGTCCCAAAGAATAGCATTTAGAAACATGAAAAATTTAACGGATCCAATTGCTTTATAAAGGTAAATAAATAATAATCTTAAAGTCTTACTGATCCCAAACTTTTGAATGGAAGTGAAAATATTTACTCAGTTAACCTGAACGTTTGCTTGTGTGTTGTTGAATCTGTCCTAATCTCAAAGTTGATTTCCACCTAAAACATAAAAAAATATTAATAGTTTTACTCATTATTAATTAAAAATTCTAAATTTATAAAACATAATTAATCTTAAAGAATTAGTTCAGCATTTGTGATTAAAAAGTATGTATATTTTTTTAGAAAACGACCAATCTTTTCGCTAGATATCGAGCCCTTTGCTACACCGTAACCACAGTTTGGACCTACAAACAGTTGATAACCATTGAAGTCCACTCTATGGAGAAAAATCCTGGAATGTTTTCCTCAAAAACCTTCATTTCTTTTCGACTGAAGAAAGCAAGACAATAACTTCTTGGATGCGTTGGGGTTATCAGGGAATTATCAGGCAATTTTAATTCTGAAGTGAACTAATCCTTTAATGGTGAATGTTTTGGATTATTTCAATATTTGTAGGAAATGAATGATCAATCTTGAAATAAGCATGTATCAAATAAACACCACTGGTCTCACCTGTGCATGAACAAGACTGAGTCTGTGCAGACATTTTTGGATATTTGACTGCTCTTCCTCCACTGACTGACTAGAAGCCTTTCCAAGATAAATCAAATTACATATAATTTGTGACTACCAGTATACATGAAAAAAAGTCAACACAGTATTACTGTAAGAATTAAAGCCAAATTTATTTTGCCAAATACAAATTTACTGATGGATTATTCAGTAAGGAAGCACTTACTTGAAAAGAATAGGTGAAAAACAAAGGGCCAAAATTATCAGAAAACCTCTGAAGCTCTTCTTGATGAACACACTCACAAGGTGGGACCTGTAAAGAAAGTCTTTCCACAGCCTCTAAAAAGGGAAAACAGAAGAACCAGCGTGAATCTGAACCTATTCACAAGTACAATATCAGTGTATAGGCCTAATACACACTTAGTACCCTTCAAAGCAGAAGTAGAAACTTTGCTACACCAAGCTCCAGCAGCAGATACTGTGAAAGACAACGATTGCCACGATGAATAAAACATTAATACAATTTATAAAATGAATTCATCAAGCTTACAACATGAAATTTGTTTAATAAGTCAAAATTACTTTAGTTTGTTCGCTTTTACCGGTTAAAATGGCCGCAGATTCACCGAGCGCCCTCGTGACAACCATCAAACCTCCTGTCCGTTTACACTCACCACATTCCCGATGAACTAAAGTCAACAAACACCTCAAAACCTGCAGAAAATTAAAATTAAACAAGCCCAACACATAGCCACAAAACATACACGGCGAAACGAAACGTAGCCTAGCTACCCCCTATGAGAAAAATAAATGTCCAGCAATACAAACACAACTTTTTTAACATTAAAAAGACAAAACGTTAAATGTACCTGTCGCAATTTACAGTACATTTTCAAACCCTATCAAACTATCATCCGAATGAAAGTCCCTCAGAGAAGCACGTTGCGTTGTCCATCCGCTCCACTAGATAGCGCTAAAGCCTGCTGAACTAGACTCTAGCTCACCACCTTTGTAAATATAGGGGAAGTCTGTCCTGGATTTCTGTTGTTACCAGTTTCGAAGTGAATTATATCCGATTATTCCATCCGTTTAACCTTTAATTGTGCAGGATGAGCGCACAGCAGATTCTGAAAGTGTTCGTCACGAGACGCATTCCCCAGGAGGGCATGAAAATACTCCAAAAATCCGGCCTGTACGAAACTTTATATTCTCTAGTAGTAGTATGCATGCATGCAATATATGCAAATTTTGTATAAATATCTCAGATGCTCTCTATGGAGGATGTAGTGTACTGTCTCGTCAAAACAACGTGTTCATTGGCAGCATGTGAACCTCAATGATCTTTGAAGGCAGTTACAAGAGTTTGCCTTTACTCCATACTCCTGCTTTTAACGTAAAGTTACGCCAGTGTTGTTCCCCTCTATGTGCAGGTGTAATTTGTCAGTGTGGGACTCTGATGAGCCTGTGCCCCGGGCAGAACTTCTGAAGGGGGTGGCAGGTGCTCACGGGATTCTCTGTTTACTCTCAGACAAAATTGATACTGAGGTCTTGGATGCTGCTGGTAAGGCAAACCTAGAACAACTGTAGGTGAAGATACTGATTAGGTAATATCGATAACACACATATTAAATATGCTCAGGTCCCAACTTGAAAGTGATCAGCACATTCTCTGTTGGATTTGACCACCTTGCTATAGATGAGATAAAGAAACGGTGAGTTTGTGACAGGATGACACAGTGGATCAATTATGATTGATCAGTAAGAATGTTCATACAATTTTAACGCAAATACTCTCTTTCTTCATTCCAGAGGTATAAGAGTAGGCTACACTCCTGATGTTTTGACGGATGCTACTGCTGAGCTAACAGTGGCTCTGCTTTTGACCACTGCCCGACGTCTTCCCGAGGGTGTAGAAGAAGTGAAAAAGTAAGTCAGACACATAAACAAAGTGTTTTTCTCCGTGATTTCATGTGAGTGACAGGTTGTCCCGTCGTCGTGCCAGCCCAGTTAACAAGTCTTTAGAGAAAAGATGCAAGAGGGATGGGGAAGTTATTTAGAATAAAGATTATGAGGGCACATAAATATGAATAAATAAATAAAATAGATTTGCACTTATACATCATTTAAAATAATTACTATGGTGACTTTATTCCAAAATCTTGGAATTTAAAGCAGTCAGTAATAATTCATTACCTATATCTAATTTTTCTATTATTTTATTAATTAAATATTCATATTTTCCCAATCTCTCTCAGTGGCGGCTGGAGTACATGGAAGCCTCTGTGGCTGTGTGGTTATGGTCTTTCGGGCAGTACTGTCGGGGTGATTGGATTGGGCCGCATAGGTACGGCAGGAAGGATGCATTTTTTTCCTCCCTTCAGTACCATAAATAAACTACAAATGCATCTGCTCTGATTCATACACCATCTGTTGTTTTCCTTCAGTGACAAATTCAATGGCATTTATAGTGCAAACAAGTCACTTAACATGGGTAACCTCGTCACCATATGTAGTGTAATCTCTCGTAATTGAAGACATCGCCCTATTTATATTGTTAAAACGATGAAGGTGAAAACTTTAGACCAGTTGTATCTGCCAATATCATTAGAGGGAGAAATACATTTTCACAAATGAAAAGCATTCTGTATATTGGACCTGACAGATTTTTTTTAAACTGGGATTTGTAGGTTTGGCCATTGCAAGACGACTTAAGCCGTTTGGTGTGAAGAGACTGCTGTACACTGGCAGACAGCCCAAACCTCAGGCCCAAGAGGTTGATGGGGAATATGGTAGGAAAAGAAATTGCTTCACATTAGATTAGCTCAAAAGGGAAATATGAATAATTAATCATAACTTCGTATAATTCATTATACATAGTTGTGTCAGTTAATAGAATTAACTTAAAGGCAGGGTAGGCAGGTTTTTTCTAAAACATGTTTCCCCAAATTTGTTTAAACTCTCTTTATATTTAAATACATATTACATGTAAGTACTCTGAAAAGGAGAGTATAAAAATCGAGTGTCTGTAGTCCTCTCAGGGCTGCAATAAACACAGCTACTTATTCCATTCGGAACGAATAAAATGATTGGCTGGGCGACTGTCACACACCCTCACTACCATGACTACCACCCCTGCCGCTACAGGAGCTGCCCATATGTGCGCACTGCTTGTGACAAGATGGCCTCCAGGTGCGGACGTCGACCTTCATTGGCCAGCAGTGCGGACGAGACATCTAGCCTTTATTTTGAATATCAATGATTTAGAAGGGATCTGAAGATTGTATCATGGCCTCTTGGCTCATCTTCCCCTCTCTCTTGCAGTGCCATTAGACAATCTGGTGAGCGAGAGTGATTTTGTGGTGGTGTCCTGTTCTTTGACTCCTGACACTCAGGGCCTTTGTGACAAAACCTTCTTCAGCAAGATGAAGAAAACTTCAATCTTTATCAATACCAGCAGGTATACCTCACTAGTGAAAACATCACAAGTGGAACTTGTTTGATTCATTATTGCTATAACCTGAAAACCACTGTATCCTCCCTTCTCTAGAGGGGCAGTTGTGAATCAAGAGGACTTGTTTGAAGCCCTCAGCAGTGGTCAGATTGCAGCAGCAGGGCTTGACGTCACAACCCCTGAACCTCTGCCCACTGGACACCCACTTCTAACTCTTAAAAACTGTGGTGAGCTTTAAATCTCAGTAAGTCATATCATTGTAGAAAAATAAAAACATGGTCTCACTTGGTTTTTATTCTGTTTTGCAGTGGTCCTCCCTCACATCGGAAGCGCTACCTACACCACACGTGGTGTCATGAGTGAACTCACTGCAAACAACTTGCTGGCAGGCTTGACAGACTCTGAAATGCCCAGTGAACTGAAAATGTAGTGTTCTTGCTTGTGCCTTGTACCAACAGAAAAAAAAGTCAGTACTGTGACATCTAACCATTAAATGCACTACATGAACTTTAATGAAATTAAAGTGGATTATTATTTCACCTGGATAATTTCTATTATAACTGGAATAACATGCTTTGATACGTTTATCTTGCTCATTTGTTCTACTATGGTGGTTCACATTTGAAGTCATTAAACCCAAATTGTTGATTAAAAACATTGAATTAATTATATGGCTTTTATTTATGCAACAATAATAGATTTATCGTAACTCCTGTATTTGGCATCTCATGGAGAAGCACATTTCAAGTAGCCGAGTCACGTTTTCAAAACATCAGGAATTAAATACAATGTGAATGACATAGTTATTAAATAATTTTATTTTTTAAAATGAAATCATTTATAATGCATGTTCAGTTTTTACCCTTGCAACACTTCTGTTATATAACACTTCCGTTACGAGTGTAAGAATTAATCTAAATGTACCACAGGGATTTTTTTTTTATATTGAAGCAAATCATATAAATCTCTGCTCTATGATCCAAGTTCAAATTGCAACTCTGTCAAAGCGAATAACTGATGAACAATTTATTGCTTAGACCTTAGTGAACATGCCAACATTCTGGTAGACATCTCTTGTTTGCAAATGAGATAGGATGAGAACAAATTTAAGTACATTCAATTGCAACTAATAAAAAAAAAAATAAAAAGAACATTAAGTTACAATGTCTCATCATTAAACTGTAACTTCCGTTGTAAGTGACTGTGCAGCATCGTCCAGGTCCTGCATGCTCATCTGTACAGGGAATGTTTCTGTCCATGGTGAAGTTTTATATGCTGTCAAGCTTCTTCAAAACATACGGTGCTGAAAAACAATAAGCCACTTATTAACATAAACCTTTTGATCGACATGAATAGACGTGGCTCTACTTGCTTCAGAGTTAAATCAGTTCTTACTGTACACACTGCCTATAATATACTTCAAAGGTGACCTCTATCATTTCCATAGTGACCACATATAACGTTAATTGATAGATCGAAATAGATCATCAATCAAAACGTCTCAAACAGTGCCTCGGGAAACTCAGCAAAAAGAAACAAACATGATTTCAGTTTTTACGAACACACGTGCATAATCTAACCAAATACATGCAAGAACCGCATTGATACTCACTGATTCGCAGAAGCGCAACATAAATCAGAAAGTTGCGGACAGACGAGATGACATCCTCGCGCATTTTCTTCTTCATCTCTTCCGGGTCCATCTTCGGCCCAAGTCCCTCGATTTTAAACATGTTAAAGCTGGAATAAAATACTATTTGTGACTCAAATGATAGCTCCGAGCCACATTCAATCCAAGAGGCATGCGAAAAAGGGAAATACGTCACATCGGATCTGCTGCTAGGACCTTCGCTGTTAGCCCACGACGTTGTGCCTGATAGTAAATTGGGTATTGTCACAATCAATACATGATTAAGAATAATCTGTTCCTTTTATTATAACATTTTATAGTACTTCAAGGTGAATATATTCAAATATTTATCACATATATTTAAGAAAAAACACTAAAAATGAACAATTTAAATCAGGCAAAAATTAAAAAACACTCCTTCGCGGCTCATTGTTTTGATTTTTGGTTCGCGGCTTCGCGCTTCTCAATCGCCTGTCTCAGTCATATCCTAGTAAACTACAGTATAAACATTATTTACTTTGTGTCGTTTTTAAATTATTTCATATAGACGCTGTCACAGTGTCTTATATTTAGTATCCTGTGTAGCACGGACTGCTTCAAAGGCACGAATAATTGTAGTTGCATGTAAATTACTGTAGTAATTAAAGGCTAGTACATTCAAAAAGTCCACATTATTGTAAACTATTGTTAATCATGGACCCGAATGGACCACTGTCGAATAACGTTTGTCAGACACATATGAAATCGATTATTGAATTTACTGAAATGTCGCCCTTCTGTTTACCCAGTAAACGCAAACGAAATGATGGGAATAATTTTAATGGCAACGAGGAGGATGGTCCTAAAGTTTTTCCCTCCAAAGAGAGCTTGAGGAAACGTAAGTATGATTCTCTCAGTCTTACTAAGTGAGTTGAGGCAAGTTCAAAATCTTTTGTATTTAACTCGACACAGATTTTCAAAGATTCAAACATTTTTTTTGAACTTACAGTAGGTCTCCCAAGTCTTACAAATAATTAAAATAATTAAATAATTACATTAAATACAAATGGAAAATTAATTTTATCTGTATATACAGTAGGTTATTCTGTAATCTGTACATACATATTTTATCTCATACAATTGCTAATACAATATGCATTAAGTATTTCCAACTAAACATGCATCAATCTGGCATTTCATAGTTCCAGTTGGCTTATTAGCAGAGAGATCCTTTTAAAATTCGATTATTCTGATATAGGATTTACTACATTGATAAAATTTGTTTTAGGAAGAATTGTAAGTCTACATTTAATGGTAAATGTAATGAATTTGACTCCTGCGAGTTGTCTTACCTCCAGATGGTTTTGTCTCGATTGATGGCCAGAGAGGTGTGTACTACTCTGAGAGCTGGGAGCCCAATGGAAGCACTTTATACCTGCCTGTAAATGGCACTTTGTTAGCCAACATTGAAAAATATGATCAGATCAGCTTTGAGCAGGGATGCTTTTGCATAGGCAATGCAGCAGGTGGATTTCAACAGAAAGTCCAAGGTAGGTCTCTTTAGTGTGTTTGAATAATATGATCAGTTTATGGGTAATTAAAATATCTAATACGAGAATCTCTTTTTGTGGATGTAGGTCAAACGATTCATTGCTGGCGATATAGTGAACGTGAGAAAAAGCTTTTCATTGCACTCTCTTATTTGTTTACAAACATGCAGGTGAGTGTAATGTTAAAATGTATATAAAATGATATATCCATTTACTTAGCCTAAAGTATGGAAGTGTTGCCTTCAAACTCTGTCTTTTCCCTCCCTATCCTGTAGGTATTCCAGGAAGTTGTCAGCTCTCTTGATTGTCTCTGAGGATTCTGGGTAGACAGAGTTGGCCAGTATCATCTAAACTAAAAAAGCGCAGACCAATCCTATGTTTTTTTTTTTTAGCACAACCTAGACATTTCTCTTCCTTGTTACAATGTAATTTTTAACATATTGTGATACCAACTGACATATGTGCCTTTATGACTGTATATTTCTGTTTTGTGCTTGTTACAGTGAATTACAGTATAGATGTTATTATGACAATGTTATTATTTTATTAGTATGGATTCTTATTTGTTTTGCATGACAAAGAGCTATAAGCGATCCTGCAGCCTCAGTTATTGCTCTGAACCAAAACATAACACGAAAATACTGTATTTTAGATTCCTGTCATGTAACACTTGTAAAGCTTGATTTTGTGCACAACATTTGAACTCCAAGAATGTTTGTACTGCTATAGTACATTGCTGTTGAATGTGTATTAGTTTGATTTTGGTGACTTTTTATCATTTTTACAATAAAAAGTAAGACTAAAACTATAAATCTGTTCAAATCCACCCAATGGAATATTGAAATTGTAAAGGGCAAGGGGCTAATGTTATTTTCCACTTACTTTAAATATTACTCGCTCCTGTTAAAGTTTGTTCGAGTATGGAGTTTTAGAGGCTGTTCACACTCCCCCTCCTCTATCAGTCTCAGCAGGTAGCTTTACATTGATCATTCATTACGTAGATCCTGTGTGAATCAGACGCCTGCTGTCAGACTGGAGAAATAAGATGGAGTGGAGAAACTGGTTGCCGCTTATTTGTTCTTTGTGAATTTTCATGAGGTGAATGAGTTGATGCAATATCTTATGTAAGATCATAAGCTAACTTCAGTAACTTCAGGTTTCATTAGTCATAATGCCATTATTAAAACTGTATTTTACATATTATATAGTGTTTGCTATAACTGTTTAAAATGACTTGCTCAGCTTTAATGGTAATTTTGAGAGCACAGTAACTCTATTCATGTAAAAAGCAGCTGGCTGATGGTGAGTCTTTCAGTTATTATGACGCACAGAAGGGTTATAAACACAGCTGGCAGCCAAGATTCAATTGCAATTTGGTGCAAAGAGACCTTATTGGCACCAGTCTTACTTTTAGAGCCAAAAACAAAGTGACAAAAAAATAAATAAATAAAAAGCACCATTAATGCCATTAACTCTGCTCTACATAAATTTACAGCCAGGAGACGCTACTGGTTCCCATCATGGGATCATTTTTTGGATTTAATTTCAATTAATTTTTTAAAATTCATTTTTTATTTTAGTCAAATGTTAAACTGTGTATAAACACTTTATCACTGGAAAAAAATGAAATAAGCCAGTATATATATAGAACCTTTTGCCACATTTTGGCAACAGTTGAGCAGTTGAGAATGATTTACTATAATAGCATACATCGCTCTACTAGTATATGCGGATAAAGTTACATATTCTTATCCAACTTGTATAGAGCTGTGCAATAATATAGTTTACATGCATTAGGCTACTTTGTGAAATTCTTGCCAAAAAAGATGTAGTTAGCCTTGCATGCTAATTTGCTATTCTAAATTCAGCCAACTTAATCGAACTTCAGCCAACTTAACCGACTTAATCGAATATGTTTCTGGAACACAACCTCGTTCTTCTATTGGTTAAACAAATTGAAAGCCCTGCCCCAGACTCACCTAATCGGCAGAGCCAGTGTTGCTATTTCTCCACATATACATAAATGTTGGACAATTCTATTAAATTGATCACAAATTAAAGAAATCTAAAGAAAATAAGAGTAATGTCTGTCCGTGCAAACCCAAAAGCTTCCACAATACATTCGTTAGTGAACACAAGCAAGGCGCAGTTCATCTCTTTGAACACTAGACTGCAGCATAACACAAGCCATCTTCCTTTGACACGGCGTAAACCTAAACATGAAATTCAAAGTCTGGATATCAAGTCACATGTGTGGCACAGTGCTAGGGAGCACTATATAATACAACAGGCGCCCTCACTTGTTTATTATTGTCTTCGAGATTAATGTTATCGTGCTTGACCTATTTTTTACTTCACCTTTTATATCCACCACAAAGGAAGATGTATCTCCCACCTACTGAGACCAAAAAGTGTATTTTTCTAGCCCCTAACTCTTCTCAGGTGGGGCTGAATGCAGTAAGCACGCTTCATTAAAGACAGCAGCCACCATGTGCCTCCTGTGAGGATAGAGTATTTAGCTTTCTATCACAGACGGCTAGAAATATTTCATCCTGGCATTTCAGCTCGCGGGGAGCATTGGACACACCTAACCCAGAGTTTCTTCCTTTCTAACTGAGAATCTGATTAAATGAGGCCTGGTTGGCTCTGACAGATACTGAGTGCTGGAGTGGTGATGAGAAAATGAGCTCTTTATCAACGCCTGAGATAGTGAGGATGAGATTTGCTCATTTCAAAAGCTTCTATTCGTTGTCACCGAACAAACTTAGATTCTGCACTTAAATATTCAACGAGGGAACATTTAGTTAAATGGAGATGTAAATCATTTCAATGTTACTCTGCCTATTTATCCAGCTAATATGCCATTAAAAAGGATATTGCTATTTCGATAACGACAATTATTATGATAACGGCTTGTATGTCTATAGGGCAAGCGTTTATGGTTTCTCAGACTGCTGGCTTTTAGTAAGACACACAAGGGAATAGGCTACTAACAATTTTCTTTTGTCCTTAACTTGAACTTAATTTTTTTTAAAACAGCGTATGAACTTATGATAGTCATATGAACATGTTTCTACTCTTTTTTTCTACAAAGATTCAACAGTTAAGGTAAAACAGCTGAATTTAGCATTGTATACTATATACTACTCTTACTAAATTAGCCATATGAAATTAATACTCACTCTATTTTCTAAATGTGTTCTTGTGAAAGATTATTGTGAAAGATTCATGTGTGCATCCTTGGAACTGGATATTCTGGTGAAATGACGATTTCTCTAATTTATTCAACATAAAGACTTTTTTACAGTTGACTGCAAGCTTACATTCAGATCTGCCTCCATCCAATCAACAACCGATGGACAGAACCAAGTCCCTATACCTACACTCAACATTTTTTAGATTTCCAAAAATCCAGTCAGATATATTCACAATACTGAAGAAAAGATAGTCAGTTTTATTTGTATTGTGCTTTTCACACTACTGTTTCAAAGCAGATTTACAGAAAATGTATGTTAATATTTAGAATATTTTAGCTTTATCATGCAAGACTCACATCATAGTCACATTTAGCAGATCAAGCAGCTAAGATTTTCTAGACCATCACCTTACGTGAGTAGTATGCGGGTTAACTTGGACATATTAACTAGCCCAATGTATACTCTATATCCAACTTCATAAATAGTCGCCAATAACATAAAGTTCATATTTTGTGATGATATAAACAATTGAGCCGTTGAAATTTACTAGTATATATTGTTTTACCTGAGTATAGCTATATTCAGTCGGATATCCAATAGAGTGCTGTGCGATAAAATTGTTACACTTTGCGACAATATGAACAATCACATTGCCAAGATTTGCTATATGGTATTGCTTTACCACTGTACACACAGTACTCAGGTTCAGTTGGATGTACAGTTATATATCCAACTTTAAAATTATCGCTGAGTAATATGGCTAAGTAGCTAAGGGATAGGCCTACGTATCCAGCCAGTTGTTCTCTCAAAATAAACTCCCGACAGGGTGACGAGGACTCTGACTCGAAGTGGAGGATAGCCTAATAATATCTCTCTTATAATAGTTAGACATGAGTATTGATCTGAGCTGAAATATTTTATTAGGTCTTTAAAACGCAAAAGTTCTGTGGAGAGAGCAGTTGCAGCGTGGCAAGTTCAAAATAGACGGAGATTTAAAAGATATGGCATGCAGTCATGCCACTTATTACACAGCATTTAGCCACATATATAATTGGAGATGAGATATTGATTTCGGATTCAATTGTTTTAAAATCGCACCTGTTTGTATTTTATAATCCAACAGGCCTACAAAACAATAGCCTTTGGCAGCAGCTGCATTTGTATGAAACCAGAGAGCGAGTACTGGATGACATAATTAAAAAATTGTACACAAAATATTGATTCGACTGAGTAATTTATTAGCTCACCAAATGCAAAACTTCCACTAAGAAAAAACGTTCATAGAAAGAGTAGGCTATAGTCCTGCTGACTTCAGTAACCAGGATAAGCCTGTGTTATTTGTTATATAATTATTTATTGTGCGAAATGCCACTGTATCCCTTAATTGTCCATTTGAACTTAGAGAGCAACTGCTCTGCTTTTAAAAGCTTCGCATTTAAATACCTAATAAAATATTTCAAAGCAATAGTTCATGTATAATTATTAACTTATGTGGGAAGTAGCCATGTAATAAGATCCAGGTTGTTATCACAGAATAAACCCATTCAGAGGGGTTCAAACACCCTGTCAGGGGTAACAACAACAGGCTAGATGTAGCCTACATTATCCCTTACATAATATAAAATAAAAAATACATTCTTAAACATCTTAAACACAAGTCCTGCATGCTAATATGCTAATCTGTATTCAGCCAATGACTGTTTTCAAACATGTTTCCTGAACACTCACATACCATTGGTTAAACAAACAGAAACCCCACCCCCAGACTGACCCCATTAGTAGATTCAGTGTTGCTATGACAGTGTGTCGGGTTTATCAAAAACATTTAGCACATCACTTTTAGCAAATGGGTTTTATACGACATGTCATGTGAGGATTGCTGGAGGCATCATAAACCTTATTTAGAGATGAATTACCAAGTCTATGATGGAGTTGTTATGCCATTGCATCGGTGTGTGGCGCTAATTTTGAGCATTAACTCATAGGCAGCTGTAAGAGCCCCAGTGTAATGTGACATGAGATCAATGCTTACAGGCATCTGTGCTTGTCTAGTCGGAGCCAGCTTTCCTGTGCTATGATTGAGATCACACCGGCACCTCATCTGTGCCAGACTAGCAGTGTTTGGCACTCACCATTAGCCATTATCCAAGACCCTGCAGCTCCTCCATGCACTGCTGCACAAATGCAGTGTAACTGCCATCTGCTGAAAGTCCTGTCACAGTCAGAATCTTTTAACCAGTCAGTGCATTAGCCAGGGAATGGATTGCTAATGCAGGTGGATGCTAGATGATGATTATGGTTGGGAATGAAAGGGCAAAGGGGTGGGGCTAATTCAGAAATATAATTACTATACAGCAAGTCTTCACTTTGAAACATTGCTGGCTTTTTGAGCTATAAGCTGCTGAAAATTTAACTACTGTATAGTTATTAGTTATTAGAATTAGTTAGCTACACTACAAACAATTAATGAAAAACAGCTAAATCTGTTACTGTTTAAAACTTTGGGGTTGACAAGATTTTTTTTTAATCTTTTTGAAAGAAGTCTCTTACGATCATCAAGGCTGCATTTATTTGATAAAAAATTTAGTAAAAACTGTGAAATATTTTT